TTTCCCTTAAAGATTTCCTTTGTAATTCTCTTGAAATTCATTTGTGAATCCTAATTACTTTTCTTGATAATAAATTGTATCTGAAAAAAAAATTACTGGATAACAAATTTAATAAATTTGTTTTTATACTAATATGATGTGTTACAGATTTAGTAAATACAGCTTTTATAATATGATTTATCTTTTAATGACTTGCTAATTTTTCAGTTTTGTGGTCTGAAACCTGATTAATATTTCTCGCTAAAGTTTTTATGACAAAAGTTCAAAATAATAATAATAGAAAATAAATAAATGAGTTAAAATTTTGAACGTTTATTTTATATTCATTTCAACTTTACTTACAAATTAAGTTCTTGTCTGGACTTAAAATATTTGGACTAGATTTGTAATAATAATTTAAATTCAATTTAATTTTGAAAAGTAGCATATCAAAGATTAACAGTCTTTATTAACCTAAATATCTTTTTTAAGTGATTTTTTTTTAAATAATTAAAATTAATGTTGATTGGTTGGTGTCGTGTCATGGACAGAAAATAATTTTAAATGTGATCAAATGTCCTATATACAACATCTTCAATTTGAAGGCAATTTTCTTCATATAAGTCGGCCCACGGATTGTCACTTATTTGCTCTAATTGCGCCAGTATAGCGGGACAGTTGAAAAGATGTATGGGGGTTAGTTTTATGTCTGGGCAATTTTTGCAGCGGCAGAAAGTCCTTGTTCCGTCACCATGAATCTTCATCCCCCTAAAGTGTCCTGTCTGGAGTCTTGTTAGTGTGCTGGTGAGAGTTCTATTGGTACTGATTTCAGGTATTTGGTGTTTGATTTGGATTTTCCTATCATTGAATTTTGCTTTAGTCACTGAATTGATATCGCTGAGAGTGACATGAGTAACATTACACTAATTCATTAAATTAAAAAAAAATTAATGTTGTTCTGCATTGCATAATTGCTGAATCTGACTAGTTAAAAATTGTATTTACAATGTTGGTTTATTACCAAACCTACAAATTATCATGAAAAGCTATATTTACATAAAGATAATATTTGTGATGTAAAATTACAGCTTGATAAAATAATTTTTAATTATCACAGAACAAATAAAATTTTAATAGAACAGATGTTAATATAATACATCAAGTAAAAGTTTGTTGATTTTAACAAATAATTACAACCTTATTTATAACTTTTATTAGTTTCACGCTAATGACTATTTAATATATGTGCCTGGAGAAAAATTATATATTTTGTTTCTTGAGAATCATGACAAATTTTTTGGTACAATAAAAATAAGCGATATCTTAATTGGAGCTTTCTTTCTCTTTTGCTATCAACTTATAAAAAATGTGATATGATTTAGACTTATGTATTTCTTCTGTGATTAGCTATGCATGATCATTTAACTTTCATATTATTTAGAGAAATATATAAATGTGCAAACCACCTGATAACAGGCTTACTAATCTTGGTATGATTTAACTAGAAATATTAAATCATATTCTCTTTTAATGAAAATTATTTCTAGTTTGTATTAACTAATTCTGCCAAATGTTACCCTTCCATATAAAAGAAAAATTAAGATTAAGGCAACATGAATTTTTATCTTGAATTCCATATGGGGAGGGGATGACTTATTTTTTATAATTCTTGCTTTTATTAATTTCTAGTTAGCAACATAGTTAGTATAACACCCCCTACAGTAATTTGTACAGATAACTGTTGGAATATGTGTTGTAAGGTTGTTATGTCTCAATTTCTCTGCATATATTTTTTTGATATATATATATCAGGGTGCGTAACCAAATTATTCAACAAAAAATACGCATCTTTTAAGCGCTTTTCAAGCACTCAAATAATATTTTTAAGCACTTTAAAAAAATATCACAATTAGGCAGGGTTGGAAAGTTTTTTGACAATCGACGGTTTTAACAGTGACGTCAACAAAAAAAAAAATCTTTTGGCATTGTTTTTGACAATTGTCGGAATTTTTGAATCATATAAATCGAATGACGTTTTCATATGCTACGAACTGACGATGTGCCGCAATCAACTGGGGTTGAATTAAGTGTGAAAACGTTGAATAGAACTATGTGATTTTTTGGTTTAGAATCATCTCATCTTTCTTTACAACAGGTGCTTTTAAAAACATTTTACAATGGTTAAAAAAAAGTTATATCTTTGCCAATAAAATATGAAAAAACTAGGAGATCTATTAAAATATTGGATAAAACCTCGGTTGGTGAAAATATTGTGGACAAATCTTGTATGAATTCAAAATTTGTAGGATAAAATTTGCTACGGAATCTATTATGAACAAAATACCATCAGAATTTTTTAAAAAAAAATTTACTTACTGAAAACTTACTTTTAAAAAAATCTACTTATTCCAAAGACTTTGTAATAGAACCAAATTTTCAAAAAANAATAGAACCAAATTTTGAAAAAGAAAAAAAATGGCTAGAGCAAACTAAATAAGCATAACATGTTATTTATTTGAGACATAGATATAGCAAAAAAAATTTTAAGGTGTAAAAATACTCCTTGAATACAATTTCATTATAGATTACTGATGTCCTACTATGGACTGATTGAAAAAAACATGGTTTCCAGTAGGACACCGAAGTCAAGTATCGCTGGCTGCTGTCCGTAAGCGGGTGGGTCGCCACTTAGATTAGCCCGAGTAGGGACTGAGGGTGCGCGATATCAGTCCTCGTTAACACTGTTCTACCATAAAGTGCTCAACTTCGCATGAAGGTAGTCGAGCTACCAAAGTGAAGGAGCCATCCCCTCTGCAGAGGATCAAAATTGTTTCGGAATGTCTTCGGATCATCCTCGGGGATGTTTCCCAGACCGCCGTCAATAGTCCATTGTGCAGCTTTCGCGCAAATTAAAGAAAGTACCTACCTATATATTACAAAAACCAATTTCATAAGGAAAGATAATTTTTATAGATTAAATAGAAGAGAACTATACTATTTTTGGCATATTTTGAATAAAAAAAATTTATTTAGATAAAATACAGTAAAATCTGAGGCCGGGATTGCCTGGTCGGTAGGGCGCTGGGCCCATGTCGGAGAGTTCGAACCCCACCGGCCGAAGACTCCTCCTAGTAAATGGTGACTGATGCACGTTAAATCTGTCGAGTCGCAAGGTCCTCCATGTTCCCACAAACAAATCAATACTTCTGGGGGTACTGGATTGGAGATCGATCGTTCTCTGATTGAGGTCAAAATTACGATCTGTGGATGAATGGGTTCGCCCTATAAACGGGTGCGGCAGAAGTTGAATTCTTGGCCAAAGATGGCGCAACTGGAAAACAAGAACAATCGCACCCCTCTGCCTAAAACAGGCATATGCCAACAAAAACAACAGTAAAATCCCACTCATCATTTTCCATGATTTTAAAGCATTATCAGAATTGAAATAAGTAACATTTCCGTCTTGTTCTTTAAATTTAAGTCCTCATCTTGATACTTAAGTCCTCATTCTGATACTTAACTGTTCAGTTGCACTATTTTTTATTAGTTTATATAACACAGCAATTGATGAGAAAATTGCTATTTGTGCTAATGTAGTACAGCATGGAATATATTGGAACACCATATAAAGATTATGCAAACATTAAATTATAAAACATAAAATTTTAACTTTTACACTTGGAACATAATTCCTGCTTCAGACCACCTAAGACTGGTTGGTGTTTTGGGCAAAAGGAAAAAAAAATATATAAATTTAGGGAATGCAGCTTTTGCTATATTTTTATTTCAGATACAAAGTATGAAAATGCACCTAAGTACTTTTTAAGGCATATTTTTAATCTTCAATGTGTTAAATACACTTGTAGAGGTATAAAAAATATCTCTAAATCAGAGAAATATGCAAAAAAAAAAAAAATCTTCATTTGACATATTTCTTTAATTTTTTAACCTAATTATCATCTTGATATATAGATTTTATGACAAAACAATTTTCTAAATTAAATGAAAACGACTATTTGAAAAATAGAATAAATTGCAGGTAAATCAAAGGAAAAAAACCCAGTAGAGTGAAAGTGCTTTGCATAAAAATCCTGCTTAAAAAAGAAATCTGACTTACGAAAATGTTAAAATTAAATTTTTTATCTCAAATGCTAATTTCACTAAATCTAAAGAAAAAAAAATGCTTTAAATATGAATGTTAAAATACCCACTACATACTCTTAACAAAACTTAGAAACTTTTTTAAAAAGAACAAAAAATAAGGATATTTTTTTAATAGATTCATATAGTTTAGACGAGAAAGTAGAGTATAAGTTTTGAAGATACTGATACCAATTCATTTCTAGTTTAAGGCAGCAAAGTAAATTAAAACCCATAAGATATTTAGTAAGGTTCTACTAATCATAAATAAAAACAATACAAAAATTTACACGTTTACGAAAATTTATATACAGCTGTAAAAACACTGATTAAAAATTTTAAAATACTTATGCCAATTTATTTGCAGCAGGGGTGTACCACCTATGGCCCGTCAGACAAAACTGGTCTCTAAAATTCATGACTTTACCCAATAACTGATTAATGAAATATCAATAAAAATACATAAAGTTGTTCTAATGATCTTTGTATATAACTGAAGAATAGTTTTTTTTTACTGGTCATCCGATTCTCTTATGTAACTTATTGTTTCAGTACAAGCCTGAACTCATTTGTAACTATTTTATATCTCAACTTTTATTTATAGCCATGAAATCTGTGCTTGTAGGAATTTTACATGTTATTATATGTAATAACACTTTCAATTAATATCTAAATACACCTTACGATTACATATCGAACATTCTCATGTTATTCTTCCATGTGGCATTTTTTTAGTTTCTTTGGCTTACTATTAAAAAGGTTATACATGTTTGATGTCTAGTTTAATGTATTAGGACAAATTACCTGAGATTTATCAGAGATCTCTAAAGACTTGTTAGTGATCTGATAGTCATCTCTTTAGAATAAAAACAATACAAAAGTTAAGAAATGCATGATTTACTTCCATTCGAAACAATTCATATTCTAACAGAGTTGAACAATTTCATAGAAAAACTCCTATAATATTCGGTGTTTATTGATACAAAATAAAGAGAGAAAATGAAATTTCCCTTATAAATTTACACATGAAAACTGAAAGTTCAAACAAAGTTTTAGATCATTACATAATAATGGCGTGTATACGAAAAATTCGAGAACAATCGATCATCTCTTCGCCAATATTCACGAAACAAATGACCGGAAACGACATCTCACAAATTGTTTATTTCAGTCAGTTACTTATCGAATCTTGGCATTACAGGGAGAATAAGATTTCCAAACGATGAATCTTGAGGGATGAAACTTGCAAATGAATTCGCATGAGCGTGTTGCAGAGCGGTTCTTTGATTTTTATTAAGTCCTTGGTAATCTATAGAAGAATTTGACGGTGTTGGAACAGCTGAACTACTAGATGAAGGAGTTACGCCCGGAGTTAAAGTAGGAGCAACTGGAGAAGCAGGATTACTGTTTATTGTACCAGTTGTTTGTTGCTTTAACATCAACTTCTTTTTCAATTGAAGTTCTTCCAAAATTTTTCGATTTTGTTCTTGTTTTGCGTTTGGTTGTTGAAATGATGACATATCAGATTTTACCAAGATTTTTACTGCAATAATATTTAAACTAGATATGAAATTCTGTCACAGAGATCTCAATCTGAATAATGTATCACAAGGATTAAACTCGCTGGATTAAACTCATTTATTTCAGTTGGTAATGAAACTCCATTCTTTATCTTTGTGCGTGATGCAACATTTGCTTATAGCTTTCAAAAATTAGTGTAAGATATTAATTGAAAATTTTTTTTCCTCATATTATTGGCAACAGTAAGCTTGACTACGAAACGAAACGTAAACAATCGTGAATGGTGCTCTATTGTGGTAATATCACGAAATTTTGAAAATATGGTTCATTATTCCGAAAAGAATTATTCGGATAGAGAAAGGTAAACTCCCTCTTTATGTCATAAAAATTTATTTCATAGTCTATTCTGTTTTTTTAAAGTATTAAATTCCATTCAATGATAATTAGGTGGATTTGCATCTATCCTGCATACATCAATAGCAAAAAAACAACTGCTGAAGGACGACGTATTAGCAAAGAAAAGGTAAAACAACTAAGATTTTTATATTTTGATTAATCCTTTCTTGTATTTTCATTTATTAATTAGAATTTCCGTATTACCGCTGTTATCAGAAGAAATAAATGTTAGGTTTTGTGATCACTGGCCTTTGTATAATTTGTCTACGGTAAGAACTCCACCCGCCACAAAGCCTGAGGCCATCTGCTGATATGGAAAAAAGAATAGCGCATTTCAGGAAGGTGAGCTTCTTTTCACTCTAGGGCTAACACAATAAACCGAATAAAAAGATTCCCTTTCTCTTGCTGAGCCAAAACTTGTCATAAACAATGATTCCATACCCCTACTTGAAATAGTTATACCTCATTACCATAGTCACTGCCACGGGTCCGGACAAATGGCCAGGGGAGTTCTTACTGTAGGCAAATATCCATAATTTTGTTTGTATACTAAGCAAAGTTGGCAAGTTTCTGCCGAGGTGGTTAAAACCACTGGTAGAAACCGGTTAAAACTGGCATGGCAGAAACCCGTTCATGCCACATTTGTGGCAGAAATTCAGAAAATGACGTAAAAGTAAGTACTGAGATTGACATACAATGGATAATTCATAGAAAAGAACAATAGAATGTGTATCAAAGTACAATCTATTTACAAAATTATCACCATTCAAAATCAAATATTACATTGTTTGCACTCTGCAGTAATCTATAACCAACGGCAAGTTTTGATGCAGTTTCTAAACCTGAACAATTTCTCAATTTGCTATACACAAACGAGAAATTTGAGAAGATTCTCTCAAGTTCAGCAGAACTAGCAGGCATTTCCATCAAGGAGCAAGCAAGATTTGTGAAACTTTCATCTATTGCATATTTTTTAAAACTGGACCACCAGGTAGCAGTCTAACCAATTATATTGCCTCTTGCATACAGCTAAGATTAAAAGTGTTACTTTTATAATAATTGGATTGTTGTCATGCAAATTATGTCTAAAAGAAACTATTTGAAAATAGCTCTATTCAGTTATGTTAAGAGTTAAATGATAATACAGTACAGAACCCGTTATCCGGAAATCAGAAAACCGGAAAACCAAAAAAGTGGAACGAAATTTGATACATTTTCCTGCCATTTTTTAAAAAAAAAATTTTTTTCCTCATAAGATTTTAGGATTTTTCTTTCTTTTTTGAAAGCTGTTTACCTTACCATCATTTTGGAAATAATCATTAGTATATTACTTCATCTATTTTTCTTCTTTTAAGATTATTTCCAACTATTTTTGTTTTTTTTTAGTTGGGTTTAACAATAAAAAAAAACGCCTTTTTTTATCGATTCAGAAAATTGGAAAAATCAGTTATCCGGAATAGCGATGGTCCCGATCATTCCGGATAATCGGTTCCCTACTGTAAATACTGAATTTCGGAGTTTAATGTAATAAACTAAAATCTAGTATTTATATTTATTATTACATTACTTTATTCTTTATTTCATATAAATATTTGATATACTGCACTCTTTATATTTAACATAAAAAAAATAATATATATTTACAAACAATGAATTAGAAAGTTTGTTGCAGTTACATGGAGTTTCATTTTTTAGTTTACTTAAACAAAATGTCATTAAGAAATTACTAGAACTAGTATAGACGTTTTTTTAGTTACTGCCAGTTTTCACCGGTTATAACCAGTTTCTGCCACTGGCATGGCAAAAACCAGTTTCTGCCGGCAAAAAGCCAACCCTGATATTAAGTATAAAAATATTTCCTTTACAAATTTTTGTTGACTAATGTGCTAAGTTTATTAAAACATTTTCAGAATACTCACCAAGTATTAGAAACTTTCGGGCAGCAACCCGCGAGAAACTAAGGGGGAAGATTTTCTTAATGTGATCTTAATTTTACACGCAATTAGGATCACTTTTAATAAAATAAATTGTTTTCGAAAAAGTTCTTCCTGTCAAATATAAAGATTTGATTTTAAATGTTACTAACTTCAGATTAAGTAACTTTTTTGTTGTAAATTGTTGTTTCTAACATGTTTTCTTTTGACAGAAGAGGAAGTCATAATGATAAAAAACTAATCTGCAAAAAAAAAGTAGATCTAACATAATATTTCAGTTTCCTATTTTAAAAACTAAAATAGTTAATTATGTTATTGACTTACAAAAAATTATTTGTTTTTCAGTACTAATAAATGTTTTCTCATTTATAAAAGTATCAAATTGTCCACCTCCTTTCAATTATTAAAATGATAATGTAGTTGCAAAATTTCCTATGATGAAGAATTAATTTATTTCAACAGAATTTTAAAAATTCGGGTCTTGTCTGCATATTAAAAAAAAGGCATGTGAGAAGTGTTCGGTACATCCATAAAAAATATGCCTCTTTCAAAATTTGTAACTTAAACTAAATTTTCTTTTGTAATCTGTATATAAAGTTATTAATGCATTTCTTGTCTTTCTATATCTGTAAAATTATGTATCATTATATCTTTACCAGGGTTGGGTTTTTGACATCAAAAAGTGGTTTTTGACATGACAAGGGTATAANGCAAAGCAAACACTTTCAAGGCCATTTTACTGCATTCTGAAGTAGGGGGTGTAGTTCTATTTATAGCAGCGCAATGCAAAGCATCGTACTTCGGGAAAGCGTATATATACGCCTGCGGCAGTTAACACATCGTCTGGCCGAGACGTATATATACGCCCGCGGCAGTTAAGGGGTTAAAACATTTTCAGAATGATCACCAAGTATTGGAAACTTTCGGGCAGCAACCTGCGAGAAACTAAGGGGGAAGATTTTCTTAACGTGATCTTAATTTTACACGCAATTAGGATCACTTTTCAATAAAATAAATTGTTTTTGAAAAAGTTCTTCCTGTCAGATATAAAGATTTGATTTTAAATGTTACTAACTTCAGATTAAGTAACTTTTTTGTTGTAAATTGTTGTTTCTAACGTGTTTTCTTTTGACAGAAGAGGAAGTCATAATGATAAAAACCCAATCTGCAAAAAAAAAAAAAAAAAAGTAGATCTAACATAGTATTTCAATTTCCCTTTTTAAAAACTAAAATAGTTAATTATGTTATTGACTTTCAAAAAATTATTTGTTTTTCAGCACTAATAAATGTTTCCTCATTTATAAAAGTATCAAATTGTCCACCGCCTTTCAATTATTAAAATGATAATGTAGTTGCAAAATATCCTATGATGATGAATTCATTTATTTCAACAGAATTTTAAAAATTCGGGTCTTGTCTGCATATTAAAAAAAAGGCATGTGAGAAGTGTTCGGAACATCCTTAAAAAATATGCCTCTTTCAAATCTATAACTTAAATTAAATTTTCTTTTGCAATCTGTATATAAAATTGCTAATGCATTTCTTGTCTTTCTATATCTGTAAAATTATGTATCATTATATCTTTACATATCTATATTACAGTGTGTCGAGAATCCGACATGCCAAGAAATCAGAGATGTGTTAGATGCTGCTGCTTTAAAAATTGGAGTTGAGGTAAAATTGATTTTTGTAAATGCTTCATTTGATTTTATTTGGTATTTAGTATGATAAAGAAATTTGATTAGGCCATTCAAAGCTGTGATATATGAATGGTAAAGTGAATTGTAATTGTCTGCATTTTTGACACCAAAACTGTAGAATATACTGTTACACTTTTCTGGTCGTTGACTCTTAATTTTTTTTGTAAAATCAAGTTCGAATGCTTATAGTAAAAAATATTTTTCTTCAAAATGTAATTGCATATGCAATGTATGCTGATTTAAATTAGCAAGATTCTGATAAAGAAGTATGTAAAAAAAAAGTAGTAAAAGAAATAATAGCTTGAAAATATTTGAGTTCTTAAAAAGTTCTTATTTTTGTTGAAAAATTTGGCTTCACAACCTGAATGTATTTTGTACAGAGTATCCACACACCTGGAAAGTCATGAATTTCGGTATTGAACAAAATTTGTCATGAAATGTCATAATTTGTACTATTTTTTAAAAAAAAATCATGGAAAGTCATGGATTTAGGTCGTCAAGAAATCTAATTTTTAAAATGGAATCCCCCACCCCCTAATTTTATAGTGTTTTGAATATCTGAATTTCTAACAAAATCACCACTCACAGTCATATTTTATTAAAATATGAAATGTTTTTATCATGTTCTTTAAAAATTATGGTATTCTCTCAAAAAATTAAAGAAAAAACATCATTTCTCGAGCAAATTATCTTTTAAACATCTGTGATTTCAGAATTTTTATTATTATTGATTTTTTATTTTATCAATTTAAAATTCCATCTGATGCAAGCCTGTCATTAGTGAATTTTTTTAAAAATTCCGAAATGAGAACAGAAAAATCAGGAGTATTTCTTTCCTTTCCGATGAACAAGAAAGGTATCTTTAGAATATAATTCTTCTATTTTATTGCTTCAACTCTTTCTTTACTCAGTTTTTAAAATCAGTAAATATGAAGAGGCAGAATATAACAGTTTTGGTTATACCTATCATTTCAATTAATGTTACAATGCTTTTTTAAATTTATTGTTGTGTTTTTATCGGAGAAATTAGTAACTTCGTTAAGTCATGAAAAATTCTAGGAATTAGTCATGGAAAGTCATGAATTTGAAAATCTAAAATGTAGCAGTAGCCCTGCTTGCAGAATAATATTTCTTTGCATATAACGTTTTTTGTTTCTTCATAGAACAAACTGTATACCAGAGAACAAAATAAAGACAGTGTTGTATTCAGAGGACGTGTTCGAGTTCAGCTAAGAAATGATGATGGATCTTTAATGAATCCCAAATTTCAATCAAGTAATGAATCACTCTTATTTTTCTTACCATTTTTCTGTAACATTTCTGAAATTTTTTCTTACATTATTTTTATCAATCCAATCTGAGACAGGATTGGCAAGCTTTTGAAGCGAGACACATGGTGCGTAGCATTTTTAAAAAAGTGCTTATTTTATATTTTCGTTTTTTAAAATCCCTTAAAGGTGCTTTTTTCATTAGGTGTTTTAAAAAGGTGCTTAATTTTTCCTTTTAGAAAAGGAGATTTTTTTACCTTGTCCATTTTCTCCACATTTTATGCTAAAGCCTGATTTTCTCATTGTTCTATTCAACATTTTCACAATTCATTCAAGCATCATGGTGTGAGCGTTTTCTAAAGGTGCTAATTCTCGATTTTTGTTCTTTAAAAGCCCTTAAAGTTGCCAATTTTTCCTTTCAAAAATGATTTTTTTTTCTTTACCAAGTCGATTTTTGCCACATATTATGCAAAAGCGTGCTTTTCACATTGTTCTATTCAACTTTTTCACAACTCATTTCGGCGTAACGTCGGTCCATAGTGTATGAAAGCATCAATCATTTTACATGTTTGATGAAATACTTGTGAGTCTGTATGTGCGTCTACTGAGCTGGGCTAGGCAAAATAATTGCCTTCGCATGTGCAACTCTGCTGCATTTTGCAAGATATTCTCAATTTCAGACTTAATTTTCCACCGTACTGATATTGAACCGATCATTTTATAATGGCTAATATAATCTAGAAGAGTTCTTTGTCAGGAAATAGTTATTTTCTCATGATCATCTAAAGTCTTGGAAAATTATTTTGCAATTTGTTAATTGCTTAAAAATATTTTTTGAGTGCTTAAAAAGTACTTATTTTTTGGTGAAAGATTTGGCTACGCACCCTGACCACAATCTATTTCGGCGTACCGTTAGTCCATAGCGTATAAAAGCGCCAATCATTTGACATGTTTGATGAAATACTTGTGAGTTCACATGTACGTGTGTGCAACTCTGCTGTATTTTGGAAGATATTCTCAATTTTAGGCTTTATTTTCCACCCTCTGATATCAAACAGAAAAATCTCTTGATCATTTTATAGTGGCTAATATAACCAAGAAAAAGAGTTCTTTGTCAGAAACTAGTTATTTTTATCATGATCATGTTAAGTCTGTGAGAATTATTTTGCATTTAGTTAATGTATATAGTACTTAAAAATATCTTTTGAGTGCTTAAAAAGTACTTTAAAGGTACTTATTTTTTGTTGAAAGATTTGGCTATGCACCCTGTGGACAGTTTTAACCATGGTCAAAATTCTATTATATTTTTCTTTTATTTCAAATAATTAAAATTTAAATGAAAAGTGTATCTTAACTCATAAAGAACTAAATTTTTTAAAAAAATTTATAAAAGGTATTTGAAGATATGTGTCTTAAGATTATTGATAAAATATGATAATGTATTTTCACGGCTTGGTTGTGCAGAACTACTGATTTGCTATTTTATGCTTTGACACGATGAGACTGATTACTACAGTGCTATTCTGTATGCACTTGTGGTTTGTGTTAATTTGAGTTAAAACTAGATAATATAGCATTGGTTCTTCATTCAGTTTATCTTTAATTACAAATCTTTGATAAATTATTTACAATATGTATTTAGTTGTATGATTATATGCATATATTTAGTTGTAATGTAATAAATATAGATGCTGAATGACTATTGATAACAAAATAAATGTGTACAGCACAAAAATTTTTACACACATTTTAATATTTTTAATTGCGAAATTTTAATTTTTAGTTTTATCGCAAATCAAGACTTAAAGGCATGCAAGAATCAGTTTTTAATAATTTATATTATTGAAATTTATTTAATTTATATTATTATCTAATGTGTTATCAATACATTAAAATATTTTATATACATGTAACTAATAGCCAAAATTAATTGTAAATTATAAAGAAAATTTTGCTAAAAAAATTTTGTCTGCAGTATCATAACATAAGAAAGTAGGTTTTTGATAATTTTTACCTCTTAACCCTGAACTGAGATAACCCTGTCCCAAATTTATCTTGTCATCAAGAGCAAAGTGATCTGTTTTGAACCATTACTGGTATGTTCTATTAAGAAAATGACTTTTGGCATACGTAGTTAGTATTTAAAAAAAAATTTCATAATATAATAATTTCAGTTAATTCTTGTCAAGAAATGCAAAAATATTTCTTTTAATACTTTTTTGATGAAGCTATTGTTTTTGTAAATTAAAGAAAGTGTATGTATAAATGTAATGTTAATAATAACTGATAATGTACAATTCAAATTTAAAATTTGAGATATTATCGAACAGAATTTTTTTTGTTGCTCTGTCAAGATGTTATCAAACTAGTATTTTGTAATTGTCAAAAAGTATTTAATATAAATGAGCAAGAAAAAAAAAAACTTACTAAATTTTGACCTAATGAATTAGGTTTTCACTGACCAGGGGTTCTAGCAGTTGACATTCTTATAATTTAGTGCTGGATATGTTTTAAGTTATGTAATCAGACACTCATTTGTTATATTTTGGACTACCATTTTTATGTATTCAGATTTTTGACTCTCAAAATTTAAGGAGCAGCCACAATCTAGAAAATTGTTTTAAATAAGGAATGTGGTTAAAAAATGGTAAAAAAGTAGTTTGCAAGAAAAAGAATTTAAAAAATTTTTACTTAAAAGGTGTACAATCAATTTCATATTAAGTTTAGGTATTGTCAATTCAATTTACATTATTTAAAGCATCGAAAGGTGTATGTCTTAAAATTAAAAAAAAATTCATTCATTAAGTAAAATATTTAATTATTATAAAAATTTTTTGAATAGAATTATCGTTGTATAAATTAGATTTTAATGTGCAAAATGTTCTTACATTACATTAGCTTTCTTACATTAGCTTAATTCTTACATTACATTAATTCTTACATTAGCTTAAACTTGAGACTTCTTTCCTGAATAAATAATTCGAAATCTATTTTTAAGATTACAGTATTTACTTATTATTATTATAGATATTATTATTATAGATTTTAATCAGTGTATTTACTTTTTACCCTTCAAAATATTATAATAACATTTTAGTGTGTGAAAATCTGGTCATTACTTCTAAAGTTATTCAGTGTGCTTTTAGCACTGATTTATTCAGATGTTTATTTAAATTATTGTAAATTAGTGGGTTTCAGACTAAAAAATAATTAGTGCCATCCTAAACAAAATGTTTAAGTTACAGTTGAACAGGAATCATAATTACTAATACTATATACATTAATAAGAATTTTGTTAAATAAGTAGTTTATTAGATATNGTGTGCTTTTAGCACTGATTTATTCAGATGTTTATTTAAATTATTGTTACTTTCCATACAGTTGAACAGGAATCATAATTACTAATACTATATACATTAATAAGAATTTTGTTAAATAAGTAGTTTATTAGATATAAGAACTACTGATTTTTAAGTAAATCATTGAGATTGTTTTACGATCTTAGTCTTTTTCTTTAAAAGATTATATTAAAACTTAATGTGTAGGTATTTTATTGATTTTTCATGTATTTGAGTGCATTTCTTTTTTTTTTCAGGAAAAGATATTATGATGCATGTGGCTGAAATGATCCCAAAATTAAAAAGCAGAAGCCAGAGTAAAACAGCAGATCAGTCGCAAAATGTTCAAAGCTCTAAGAAGGGAAATAAAAAGAAAAGAAAATGAATTTTGTAATTAACTATAATATTTCATTTAATTTTTGTTTATAAAAGTTTAATAATAAGCTGAATGGTTTATTTTCTTTCAATAAACTTTTGAAGGGATAAAATTTGAATTGTAAATTAAGGAAAATAAATTATTACTTGAACCAGAAAAAAATAGTTCTTATGTTTTGGCTTTAATTAATAAATGAGTTTTTTTCTCTCTGCAATAAATATAAAGTTTAATGGAAGAACATGTTATTCGTCTATGACTCAAAATTTAGGATTTAAAAATGTGCTAGTTATAATTATAAAACAATAATTAGGCTATTTTTAGTTGGAAAATATGTTTTATAAACAATTTCTTGCTGCTGCTACTGTATTTTTTTAATCATGAAGCCTAATTTAAAATTTAGTACAAAACTGTGCAATAGAATTGTTAATTATGATATGCAACTTATTTAGTTGGATTGTAGTCCAAAAATATTATTAGAATATGATAAATAGATTTAGAATATAATAGGCAGATTTTATAGTTGTTACACATATGTAAAAAGTTATTCCTTCTATTTATTGGTTATTTTGAAGGAAAAAAAATAAAATCTGTAATATGTTTGTGTTTGCTTTAACTAAATTTAAAACTTTGTTTTTGGCAATTTGTATTAATATGTAATAGTAAAAAAATAGTATATGAAATTTTACAGGATACAGAAAATTTGATTCAAACAAATTAATTAAAAAGTGTAGAAAATTACATTATAAAGTGTACCAATTTATCTAGTTTTTACTTTTTATAACTTCTAAAATTTTTCCATGGTTGTTTACAAGCAGCAAAACTTTACAGCTGCCTGGTTTTCAAATTTAGGTAATTTATCTAAATGGTATATAACTTTTAAAAATTATGAATTATTGAAATTGCTATTAGGTAATTTATCTTGATCATTCAATTATCATCTCAAGGTTTTATATAGTTTTATTTAATTAGAAAACATTTGAGTTTTATATTAAATAAATAAAAGTAAAGTGATACAAATGCAATTACATATTTTTTTTTACGTCAGTTCTTTTGAATCAGGTTTTTTATTTTTTGTAATTTCACTACATTAAAATTAGAAAAAAATATAAATATATGAGTTTCAATGTTTTGTTTATATTCTAATGCAACAGTTCTGAAGTTACTGTAATGGTTTAGTTTTTTTCCCAATTTATAACAGAATTATTGTTAGGTAAGTAAACTTTTCCTAAACTAATTTAAAGGTTTTTCTTTAAACTCCAGATAGTATTGAAATATTTTTTTATAATTTCAAGCATTTACATTTAATTTCAATAATTTACTTTCACAAAACTTTTTATCATCTGATGTATACATACAAAAGATTTACAATTTCTCATAGTTACAAATTATACAGAAATAGTTTCCTGAACAAGGGAAAAAAATTTCATCTCTACAAAAAATTAAATGCAGGTTTTGAAAATTTTCTATCCAAATTATAGTTTTATAATGTCATATATTAAATAGCTTTTAAAAAATTGGAAAGTAACACCTACAAGTCCTTAAATTTAAATATAGGTTAAGGGTGGGCGTCCTGTAATTTTTTCATGTCCAAGTGTGTGTTTTTTGCATGAAAAGCAACAAAGATTATTTTTAGTCACATTTTTATATGCAAAAACTAATTTTCTTCATTTGAGAGAGGCATTAATTAATATATTTTCATTAAATACATTTTTAAAATAAAACTAGTCCCTTTCGATGGTCAATCANAACACCTACAAGTCCTTAAATTTAAATATAGGTTAAGGGTGGGCGTCCTGTAATTTTTTCATGTCCAAGTGTGTGTTTTTTGCATGAAAAGCAACAAAGATTATTTTAAAATAAAACTAGTTCTTTCGATGGTCAATCAATTTCCCTTACCTAATTAATACATAATAATATTTTGGGTTCTTTGCAATTTAAAATTATCTACAAAGATGGGTCTGCTACAGCACTATTCAGAGTGTTTCTCATGCATCCCTTCACTATCTCAACTATACTTGACTGTGATATAACTATGGTAAGGTGATGATATAAGGTAACTGATTTGACTATAATTAACATTAACCACCCTTATTTAGGTGTTCAAAATGCAATACTGCTGAAAAACTGCTCTGAAGTCGAGACCTTTTAATATCTAAAATGTCTTTCACTACACATGGTTTACTAGGTTAAGTTAAATAGAATTTTTACTGGTGCACAAATACCATAACAAAAGTTTAGGCTTTTTTCTTTAGTTGAAAGATAGCTTTTTGTTATGACTCCCCCTTATAGGATTTTTAAAGAGATAGAAATGAAATATTTTAAATTTTTTTTCCCAAGTAATAGACTTGTAAGAGTGATATGGGTTAATGAATAATTTCAAATAAAAAATTAAACTACTCATCCCTATGTAAAACGCACTAATGTGGTCCTCATAAATATAGAAGTGTTTTCCTTCAGTAAGGAAAATTATTAATATGTTGGCTGTATTAGAATTTGTAAGAATTGATTGATTAAATTAATTTTTATTTCATTTATTGTTTAAACAAATGGATTTTTAAAATACTAATAATTATTTTGTTTTAAAGTAAATGCTATGAATGAATGCAGTAAATTTTAATGAAACCCATTTTGATACTGAAGATTGAAAGAGAAAAAATATGAAACAATTCTAACTTTTAAAATTTTATTTCTCAACATAAAATGTGTGAAAGGAGAGTGAAAAAAAAAGTAGCAAAATAAATACAGTTTACATGTATTTCTTGATTATTTTAGGCTGAGTCATTCCCTGAAAATAAAATAAAAAGAGTTAAAACAGTTCAATGCATTTGCACAGTTCTATGATTGTTATGTAAAATTCATTTAATTAATAAATTAAACAATTTATAATAATTTTTTTTAAATGAATACAGTTTGAGTTGCTGAAAGGTATGGAATTTTACGAAAGGTATAGAACTCAAATGTAAACTGTTCTAAATATGCATGTACAATTAGAGTTGTTGTTCTATAATGTTAAAGAATTAGCTTGATTCAAAGTTTCTCGTTTTTGTAAGAGAAATCCTTATTCCCCCCTTCCAATTTAAAGAAATCTTAAACTATTTGAAAACCTTCAAAGAAAAGCGATTATACTTGACAGCATAAAATTATTTGCTATTGTTTTACAAAACTTGAGTCATTTTTCTTAGTTAAGTTTTAAAATCTATAATGGGCAAACAAACAAAAAAGAAACATTATCAATTTCTTAATTAAATTCTAAGAAATTTTAATTTGTTATTTTTTGTCACAAAATTAGAGGGGAAAAGATTTATGCACTGTAAAACCATTTTATGACAGACTATTTTAATATGGAAGCTTTTACATTTCTATATTTATCTATCTAATACTAATTAAAAAAGCAGTAATTCATTTTAAAAAAAATATGTTGGCTTTAAATGAAATTTTAAGATACTAAAAAATTCTTTGTTTTTAAAGTAAATGTTACTGATATAGTGAATTTTGACTCAATTATTGATTCAAAATCAAAATTCCAATAAATTTTAGTTTTGGTTTTTTTTTCTCCTGAAATTAGAGGGGAAAAGATTTATGCATTGTAAAACTATTTTATGAAACTAACTTAAAAAGGTAAACCTATACAAAGTGAGGAATTGGAGAAAAAAAAAAAAGGGGGGGGGGCTTTTTTCCTTTAGAAAAGAGAGATATGTGTGCTTTGCAGGTACTAGAGTTTTAGGTCTATTCTATAATAATTTTAAAAAAATTACTTTACTTAGTGTTTTAGACCCTTATATTCCATTAATATCAGTTATATAAATCAAGCTAACTTTAAAAAATAACCATTGCTTAAAAAGTATGTTGATATATTTTTGTTCATTGTGCGGAATAGGAAATTATTGTAAGGAATTAAAAAAAATCTGTTTAAATTTCTCTTAAATTGTTGCACAAGACCTTTTTATTATGTGTTCTTATTAATATGGGACTAAGAATAGAATAATACAATAAGTTATCTGAAAAGAATAAAAAATAAATATTTCTTAAAAGACAATAAGAAGAGTAACATTTCAAAATGAAAGTTAAAAATAAAAAAAATAACTGTGTATCTAAATTTTTCAGAAATAGTATTTAGTAAAATAATTTTACAAATTAAGTAATAACTTTTTATGTCTAAATTAACGATCTGTTAATATCCAGAAAAGGAATTTTAAGTTCAGCTAATCTTCTTCCTTTTAACATATTTTTGTGAGATTCCCACCCCAAAAATGCTTGTTCTCCTGTAATCAAAGAAAAGTAAGAAGAAGAATACATCTTATCAGGGAAATAGAAGACAATATTAATAGAAATTTAAAGAATTGAGAAAATTATCTAATTGAAAGAAAATATAAATAAGTAAATAGGAATAATAAATAGTTAAGAAAATATAATTAACTTGGAAACAAATCTAAAATGTACAGAGCAATTTTATTTTATTTTATGAATGTATATGTGGTAAACTAAAAGAACGGGGAAGTTTTAGAGAAGAAAAGATAAACCGAAAATCTAGAACAAAAACTAAAGGGTTTTCTAACTTAACACAAATAATAAAATGCAAACAAACCAGAAAATGAAAACTTACATGTCAGTTTGGCATTTGAAAAGTCTGAGTCTATTTCAAATGGACCTTCCATTTTTACTCCCTCTTTAGTACAGGTAGCAAGGGTAAACTAGAAAAGAAATAGTTTACATTTGTTGCCTTATTTAGCTATTTAATTTTACATTAATATATTTCAAAAAGTCTACTGTGATTTCTTAATCAATCTATCGATATATATATATATAAATTTCAATTTTCTATACTGCAGTAATCTTTAAAAATATTTTATCTGCAATTTTTTATTTACAATGCTTAATTTTTTATAATGTTTAAATGGCTAAATTTGAACATCAAAGTTCAAAACTATAAAAACCAGCCTAAATAGAATAAAGTTAACCATTTTAACATGTGTTGAAATAGGAGTTTAAATCTCCCTTAATAGGCATTTATAAGACACAGAATTTTGTTAATCAAGCCATTTATGTATTGCTGACCAGGTGAAACTGGTACAATCACTTGCAATGCATTGCTTTAGTATACAACTTAGACAAGTGGTCTCAGTTAGGAGATGAATTTTCTTTCAATTTTATTAATATGAATAACTTTGGCTACTTTAATTAATTTCTAAAATTTGGATAATTTACACCATGAATTTGGTTGAAATAACTAGATTTTATTTGCTGTGACTAAAAAAAGAAGAAAAATATTTAATGCAAGATAATGGCTTATCAAAATCAAATACTTACATATTCTAAGATGTTTATGTTTAAATATAAGAATATAATGAAGAGAAGTTAATTCATACAAAATTATTTGAGAGAAAGAAAGGAAAAAAAACTTTGAGAAACTCTTTTTGAAGTTTACTTTGTTTTCCCAATGCTACTAAAGTTCAAATAAAATATGGCATATAATGATACTCACTCTGGTGAAAGCCCTGGAGTCCCTATAGTATAATACTCTCAAGCTATCTTTTAATAATACTAAGGCTTCCTCTCTACTTAGATCAGGTTTCTTCTCTACATATGTTCGAAGGATAGGCTAAAAATTAGATTAAAAAATTGTTTATTTTTTAAAACTTAAGGCATTTTCCAAAACATTATTAATAATGAATAAAAAAGAGAAACGTTAAAAAAATAACTTCAAACTTTATATTATTTTATTCCAAGCTTTTCAGAAAGAAAAAATATTAATTTAATTTTACATAATAAATTTATTGAATTTATATAAACCGACTGAGCGTTTACAGCACCTAGAGGTTTTATTTTACCTGATTTTCTCTCTCCAAAAACCAGTTATTCACAGAGCTATTCAATGAGAAAATAGTGTCATATGGTGAAATTTTTACACAAACTTGCTCAAATGTAAAATGCCCACTTGGTTAAAAAGCTATAATTTATTTAACTTAAATAGTTAAGTTTAATTAATGAAAGAATAAAAGCATACATTAAAAAGTATATGAATACAAATTAAATTAAGTCTTGATTAACGCATTAAAAAGTATATGAATACAAATAAAATTAAGTCTTGGTTATAAAAGGTTAAGAGCTAAAACACTGCAATTAAAAAAGTTTATAGCAACAGCATCAATAAAATCATTGGATTATAAAATCAGCAATTAAAAATCTCAAAAATAAAATCAGTGTTGTTGTTGCCCCCTCCTTAAAAGTCTAGCAGAGCTAGACTAGGTCAATGAGGCCAAACACCCTCCGGAAGTCCAAGACCAGTAATGGACTACCAAGAAGAACTTGATAACTGAGCCCCAGGCTCTTCAAGGTGTGAGTTGGAGAAGCCTGTTCAGAGAAGCAAAATCTTAAACCACCTGTGAAGGTGATAGTTCTGATAAGGCGGGTGAGAGTAGTTTGTCCTTGCCTGTCAAATTTTAGTGTTGAAGAACCTCCAGGTCTGTGGTCCCGATACCACTGATGCACCAGGGGAATGGACCATAATGCTTTTCCACTCGACCTGGCTTGCGAATATATTTCTGTATAGGTAAGAGGCTCAGGTGGAATCAAGACCTCATTGGTTCCTGCTTTGGCCAATGTATCTGCTATTTCATTACTCTCAAGATCCTCATATGAGGGAATCCATTGTATGTGAATCATAAAATCAGTAAAATATTAGAGAATGTTAAAATCATTTAAGTAAAATCAACATTTTAATAAAATCAAAATGTTATGGAACCACATGTTTCATAAATGAAAAGATTAGGCGTTTGCATTCTTTCCATATATATGTTACCAGCAAAGTATGAAATGCCGGCATTGTATATAATGCCCGATGTTTTTAGGCAAAGTATGAAATGTGAGAAGTATTACATACTTTCCCTAGACATTGTATAAAAGAACTAGGCATTCTAGAGTGACAAATGCTATTTAGGCAAAGTATGAAAAAAAACATACTAATGAGGTTATTATGTAAATAATGTTCATTTCTGAAAAATAAAAATGTTATTCCAAAAGAATAATGAGAGTGCCATTAAAAATTTTTTATTCAAAATGCATAAAGAAAAATGAAAGTTGTACAAAACATAATTTATGTCTTTCTTATTATGGGAACAAAATGTTCACATAAAAAATTTACATTTATGTCACAATTATTTTCAGATCAGAAACAAATATTGTGCAAAATATCCATTTCATCACCTTTACTAACATGGCGACAGAAGATTTTATACTTTGCCTGTTTCTCATTTGGCATTCTATAGAATGCCAAGGAAATGTGTGAAATATAAATCGTTTCATACATTGTCGGCTAGTTTTAGATATTATATACAATGCCTAGGCATTCTATAGAATGCCGGATTTCAAACTTCGCTGGTAACATATACATTACATACAGAGTAGAAAATCTATCTACTGGTGTAAATAAAGCTATTTAACAACATGTTAAGAGGAATACGAGTGTAAAGGCAATTTTAATGTACAGGAATTATGTTAACAAAGGAATTTAATACAATTCTTACTCAGTAAGTTAAATTATAGGATTAAAGAATATCTGTATTGTGAATAACTTCTTCGTGTAAAAACGCAGGCAGCAAGCAATGAACAATTAGGGAATGTTTACTTTTAAAATTCTGATACTCAATAATATACTTATTTTAAGACCCTTTTATATAAAATTCTTGGTTTAATAAACTATCAATTAAAATAGATAAATCTTGAAATATAAACTAACTTACCTATTAATGTGCATATGGATTTAAGAAATTGTTATATATTTTTGGAAAAATTGAACAGCCTATTTATGAATTTCATTACTTTGATAATACAATGTCCTCAAGAGTGAAAGTGATTTTAATGTATGATTTGGTACTGTACATATAAACTACAATAAACATTTAGTAAAATAGCATGTTAAGGAAGCACTTAATCAGTCGTAGATTTAAAAAGCATACCTGAGCAATATGACTGCCAAAGCCGGTAGCAATAGTTTGGCTTTCATATGCTGTCCCAATTTTGTCAACGTACCCCAAAAAGCTATAAGAAATAATAAAATATCAATCAAAACATAATTTCAACTTGAATTCTCTGAGATGATTTATTTAACAGTCAACAGTTTCTTAAATATTTTATACACAAAATATTATTTTCAGAGAAAACTTACGGCTTATCATCTTGCATTCCACCTACAACATAAACATTCCACAATGGATCAAACTTGGATCTCCTGATTGAAGAAAGATAAATTATTAAAATCCTTGTTATCAACAATAACTTATATTTTAAAATTACCAATATTTCAAAAAAGAAAAATGAATTTCGGTACAAAAGCCCTAAATTAGAAACATCTTTTAGATAAAATAAAAATTGTTTAGAATCATTCGACATATTTAGCTTTACTAACATTTTTAAAACAAAAATTAAGATTATTTATCCTTTTTTAGTACGATATATAAAAATGTGCTATATCATATCAGAAAAGAATAGTTTGGAAATAATGACTTAATAAAAAATGAAGATTGATCAATCAAAACAAACATAAAAAAAAATCAAAACAAGTTATAACATAATAGAGGAAATATAAAAGATGGAGAATTAGGAAGAAAACAAAAAAATTATAAATAAAAATATTCAAATAAGTCTTTCCTCACAGAAGATATAAAGTGAAAATTCGATTTATTAATTTACGATACCATAAACACTTCAGGTTTCATAAATGAAAAACATTGTTTTAAAAATAATAAATTCATTCATTAATCATTCTTGCAATATTGTTAATTCGTGAAAAATTTCTATATGCTTCTATAATTTTAGTAGGTATACTTTATTAATAAGGAAATATTAAAAATAAAGCCAATCACAAGTTGGGATTTTAACATAATCAAATCTATATAATTTTTTTTTTTTTAATTTCTCATAAATGTTAATTTGTGCCTTCACATTTTTAATTGCAAAATTTAAGAAGCACACACACAAAAAAAAGTGTTAACTTCCAAAACAGCAGTGAAACTAAGTTTTCAATCTAGAGACCTAGCTGCCAACATGGATATGGAAAAATCCAGTAGATTTTACGAAATACTGCAAATTTTATGATAATTGCTGCAAAATGTACTAAATATTTTACCCATGGGGAATTTTTGGGATTTTTAAATAAATCAAAACAGAAAAACTGCAATATTTTTCAGTTATGATTAATATTAAAAGAAATTGAAATATCATGTATTATGTTTACTCATCATTTCAAATATTAACAATAATTAATTCATCAAAGATAGTTAAAAGTTTTTTTAAGTAATTTAAAAAGAAAGTTCTGAATAAAAATATACATTTTAGACAAAAAAAGTTTGAACTGATTTCTATAAATGAGGTTTGTATGTTTATGTATTAGTAATACTTATTTAAATATTCAAGCAATAATCTGTATAAAAATTCTATTTCAATAGAAATATTTTTATGAAACTTACTCAATTTTAGAGAATTTTTTAAAATGTACAAACAACATTAGTAGATCAAGACAAATTGACGAAATCCAGTAGTCTACTGGAAAATCTAGTAGAGTTGGCAGCTATGTAGAGGTTTTCACCGATCTCTAAGATAGGTGTGCAATACTTGCAAAAAATAATTAAACACTTAGGGGAAAAAAAAACTAAAGTAAGAACTTTGTAACACATGAGAACAAGAAGACATTTGGGTACCTGTTATATAAAGCTCTAGTTAGCCAAGTATATAAAGACTTTGGTTTTAAAATAAATCCATCATTTAAGCACTCTTCATCAATTCTGAAATAATAAATGATAATATACTGAACAAAAATAGCTTTTGACATAGAAGAATTACAAACACACAAAAATGATGAAATAAAATACTGACAGAAATTCCAGAATTTAAATTGATATTTCTAATTTAAATTATACAGATAAATATAAGCAACATTTTTTAATCAAAATATTTACTGTTTCGAGAAGTACTTGTGGTTTGGCCATAAAAAAATTTTAAAAAAACTTACAGTTTATGAGAAAAGATAAATTAAATATTAAGATTAAATGCAATAATACAAAATAGCAGAAAACCATTAAAGAATATCCTTAAATCGTTTAGTAGGAAAATTGATATTATTGAAGCACTGCACTGATGTTTTTTAAGGTTAAAGAATTACCTGGATATTTTTTTAAATCCATCTACATTGACGGGAAAAACTAAGAAAGTTCAAATTAATTTTAAAGACATGAGCAAAAAATTAGTACAACATGAGTGCAAGACTATAATTTTTAGTCCGGGGCATGTTTTGTTTTAAATAGAACCCTGCAATGTTGACATTGCTGCTTTTTGTGTTGAGAAGTAAATTTATAGTAAGTGAAAAAATTTTATATGACTGTAAGCTCAATTTTATATTGCTGAGAATTTAATAAAATGATGATTAAAGATGGGTAGGATTTTAAGTTATTTTGAAGGATAGAAACAGGATTTTGTTAATGAGAAACTTCAATGTGTATACATTGCTTTATTTTTTAGAGCACTGCAGCAGATATGTAACAAAACACATTTAGCATTGTAAAATAATAGTATATATTGCTATATTTTTAAGAAATTTGCAACAGGCTGGTAAAAAAAAAACTGTTACCTTGGGGGCTAACATTTGATATAGATTTGCAGTTTTTTTAATCATGAAATGTGTGTTTTATGTTGTCAAAAGAAATTACTGCAAAACAAGTGAATTTTAAATTTAATAGGACTGCGATATTTAATTCCGTTTTCGAAAGTGGTTGGGGGAAAAATTATTCGAAAATCAGGTACGCATAACAAATCAGTTATGTTGTGCTTTGGTCTGTGTCTAAATGATATCATATTTCAATAATCAACATTTAAATTATTCAATATATAAGTTATTCAATATTCACATACAAACTCATGTTTCAGAATAAAGAAATCTAGTTTCAATTCTTCAAATTTTGCTTTCCCATTTTTTACTTCTTCATGACATAAATTAACAAGTTTTAAACGTAATAAATATGCGTAAAAACAATTTCTAATAATGTATTGTAAAAATTACAATTTTATATTATTCTTTATTAAATCTACTCAAATTTCCCCCCCTCCCCAAAAAAAAACTTTTCCAAATAATATTTTGCGGAATATTTGCTTACATATATATTACATATACATACTTGCTTACATAAAATATAATATATCTATGCATTAAAAACAAAACAATTGCTCAAAACGTCAAAAAAAGTATTTTTGAATGAAACCTAATATTGCATAGTTCAAAATAATGTATTTTGAATATGTTTGTGAATTCTGCATTACTCACATTTGTTGTTCAATAACACCAGTAAGGTATTGGAAATCTGCATAATCTCCTTCAGCTCCTAAGATAATTTGCTTATTTACTTGCAAAACTCGTGGACAGTCAAAGTACCGAGCCAAAGATCCATAACTACCCATAGTATCAGCACAGATCATTACGCCTTTGTCATAAGCAATGCCCAAAACTGAAGAACCGGTTACAATTGGATGTCTGAAAATGGTTAACACAATTTAATTCTACAGGATTTAAGGGTAACGTTGTGAATATAATTTGTAAATTTTATGACTGCTGTTAGTTACTGTTTAAATATGTTAAATACATAGTGTAATACATGTTATTTTTCAATTTCTTTGCAAAATTTTCGATCCCAAAATTGCTTAAACATTTTATTAAAATATAATAACTTAATGAAGAAAAAAAAAAAAAGACATTCAATATTTCGTAAACAAATGTTTTTATAAATAAACACGCCTTAAAATAATTTTCTAACTTAACGACATAAACTTTCAATTTTTTTTACTATTACTTTTTCATGTTATACTCTACGTTATACTTTCATAAACTAAGCTTTATTCTTTGTTAGCTTTTTAAATTCAACATTTTTAATATTTCAACTTTCTCAAGAACTTTTTTCCCAAATGAAAGTCTGAAGATGTCTTCTGCAATGAAAACAAGAAAAGAAATTATGACAGAGAATGGAATTAAAAAAAAAAAAAAAATACCCCCAACCAACACTAATCTGAAAGGGTTAATCTTAATTAGACAACAATAAGTTGACAATAAAAAAAAATTTGCTAAACATTGTATACAGTAATAGCAAAGTAGATGCATCTCTAACTAATAAAGATAGAGGTACATTTTCATTGTGAATTTTACAAATAAGAATTTTGCCCACGAAAAAAAATGTCACTGGCCAGTTTAAATAGATGTACACATTTGCAGATATTTCTGCAACGTGATCTGTCACGCCAGCTACAATCAAAAAGACACCAAAATAGATTTAAAATATTAAATGAAAAAAAAAACTTGCGGATAGCTACACGTTATTCCCTTCCAATTGATTCCCGGGGATATTTCCGTATCTGATTTTAAACTTGCAAATTTTTTAAAAAAAAACATGTAGATGTTTGCACGGGGGTGACTGCGAGTTATACCCTTTCTGTGAAGTTTTTTTTTTTTTTTTTAGTTTCAGAGGGGCCATTGCCAAGACTTGACGATAATTCTGCCACAGATCACAATACGGAAATCTCCCTGATTCCCTTCAATGATTTTCTTTGGGGTACTTCCTTCATAGGCTACTGTCTATGAGTATTTTGGAAACAGTCCCATAAATTTCAAATGTAGATAAAGATATTTATAACACAGTTCAGTAAATTGAAGCTAACCAATTTGAAGTACATGTTTACAGAAATATAATTTGTTCAGCATTTACATTAGCAAAATAACATTACTTCTGATGTTCCTTAATTAACATATAAATATATGAACAGGAATCTACAAATCTTCTGCCCCTGTTTGAGGCTTCCAATATTTAAGTAAATTTTAACCTTTCTTTTTTCAACTTGTAAATCCAATTATTTTGGTCAACTGGTTCATTAAATTTCGTCATGGCTTCCAGAAATTTTTAACTTTTATAGATCCCTGCTTATAAAACATACTTAACAGAAATAATCTTATTTATCTAATATGAGACACATTGATTGTTTTTTAGTTATGAATGCTGTAATAACGTTTCAATATTTCGTATAAGGATTATATTTCTCGCAAAAAAAAGGTGTTTTTTACGTAGTGTGTTTTCTCGGATTATCGACGGCAGCAAAGTTCCAAGATGATTGTTTCGTGAAAGGCAACATATTATCAACATCTTTAGCAAACAAAGTAGATGTGCAGCTTCCATGAGAGAAATCCATTGTAAATGATTTAATTTGCACTTTAAAAATCAATTGATTTCAATAACTTGCTGCAAAGAAAAAGTTCAGACCGCTACAATTCCTTCCTTTTCAAAATTTTGTTAAATGAAAACAAATTTTCAAGCACTGTCATTCTTCTAGATAATCGTTTAGTTGTAGTACTACTGTTTTTGTTCCAGGGATACATTTGCTGAAGTTATATTCTGACTAGCGCTTTGAAGCATGATTTCTCATCAAAAGTGTTATTAAAGGAGCAATCGCACTGTATGCGATCATTTTACCACACAGTGAAGTACATTCCCATCAAAAGCCCAAAAATTAGGTTCTCAATCATTTCTCAGAATTTGCATATGTGATTCCTTTTTTGCATGCATTGTGGTCCCGCAGTGGACAGATCGTAAGGATCTACACGTGTCGATACGGTTTCCAGTATGACACGAGGTCAATCATCACTGGCTGCCGTCATTAAGCTGATGGGTGACCACTTTGATCAGCCTTTGTAGAGCAGTACGAAGTGTAATTCTCGACTTCGCGAGCAGGGGAGCCATCCTCTCTGCTGAGGATCAAAATCGGAATGGCAGGTCTTCGGATAATCCTCAAGTATGTTTCCCAGACAGTCGCCAATACCCCATTGGTCAGTTCTGGTGCGACTTAAATAAAGTTTCTACCTACCTGCATTGTGAATCCTTTTTTAAAAAATTCTTCAAACCATTTTTGTTCCACCCGAAAAAAAAAACTCTACTCCCACCCAAATAGGGCCATTTGCATATTGTATTAAATTTTTTCGTAGGCAAATGGAACCTCATTGGTGAAGTACCCGATTTGAATGCATAAAAAATAGCTGATTTACGGTATAAGACACATGGAAATACCTAGAAACTGGGTTCGTCTGGGAGTTATAGCGGCGACTATGACGAGGTTTAACTACACTGGTTATCATAAATTAAGGAAAAATCACAAAAATAGCGATAACTCTTTCNTATCAAAAAAAAAAAAAATGTCTCAAAATTTGCATGTGTGATTCTTTTTTTACATACATTGTGGTCCCGCAGTGGACTGATCGTAAGGGCATGGTTCCCAGTATGACACCGAAGTTTATCATCACTGGCTGCAATCAGTAAGCGTGACCACTTTGATCAGCCTGCGTAGAGACTGAGGGTGTGTGATACCGGTACTTTAAACTGTTCTACGGTAAGGCGCACGACTTCGCGAGCAGGTCGGCGGGAGCTACCGAAGCAGGGGAGCCATCCCCTCTGCAGAGGATCAAAATCGGGATGGCAGGTCTTCGGATCATCCTCAGGGATGTTTCCCAGACCGTAGCCAATACCCCATTGGGCAGTTCTCTACTCCCACCCGAAAAGGGCCATTTAGATTGTATGCTATATTTTCGTAGACAAACGGAACCTCATTGGTGAAGTACCCGATCTGAATGCAGAAAGAATAGGTGAATTACGGTATAAGACACACGGAAATACTTAGAAATTGGGTTCGTCTGGAGTTATGGCGGTGACTATGACGAGGTTTAACTATGTTAAGTCAATATTTAAAGCAAGTTTTGGCTCGAGTGGACGGGAAAAAGGGAATCCTAGAAAAAAGAAGCTCCTCTTTTTGAAATGCGTTATTTCTTTTTTCCATAACAGCAGACTAGGAAGTAGATTTCACAGCGAGGGGAGTTCTTCCTACAAACAAACTATAATGAAGCATTCTTACAGCATGCGTTTCAATATGGATGGTTGACCGTGTAAAGCTAAGTGCTGATGACGCTATAGCGCCTAAAATTTGTCGTAAGAATTAATTCTGAAGACTACGCAAAAAATAACAAAAGGTGCTATTTTATACAAATACAGCCAAATAACATTTAAAACGCGACTAACCTTACATATTAATCTTAATTATCTATTAAGGTTATACTTTGCTTTAATTATTTATTAAGGCTAACCTTATTTATTTATGCTGTGATGTTAATTTTGTTTTAGACACATGAGCTGTTAGAATTTATAAATTACAGAAAATTCTTATAAATGGTAAAATTACGCGGAAGTTTAAATAAAAATCATAATAATAAAACTTTCTAAAACATTAAGCCTGTTCGCACATCACCTCTCAAGCATAATATTAACGGAGGGATGAAATTTATTGTTTTTAGGAAGTTTGGCTTGTTATTGTTTACACTCAATCATTGAGTGGATGTTCACTATACGTCGTCGTCAACATCCACAGAGGTCTATAGTCATCTGGTGGATATCCACAAGCCCATCTATATTTGATCCATGGAAGGCCCAGTAGAAGTTCAACAATCCTCCACCTGATATAGCTTTTACGTGGATAAGATACGGATAATTTGATCCATAGCGTATCCAAGCATGACATCTCATAGTAATTCGCGGGAAATATTCCTGATCTGCTAATTAATAATGTATGCTTAATAATATATAATAATAATATTTTAGTTGATAAAATGAACATTAAAAGATTTATACACAGTTTGAGTTGAATGAGTAAAAATTGCTTAAAAGATGATATTTATTGACTATTTGATTTCATGAACTAAATTTTTTTTTTTTAACATTTGGTTATTTATCTAGACTGAAGTCAATAGAATTAGTGAATATAATTAACTTAATGTGATCATACTTCTGGAAGTAATTATTTTAAAATTAAATTACAAATCAAAAGCCTAAAAATATTTTTAGTTTTATCTCTAAATAATATTCACAATAAAACTGGATACAACACAAAATATTTTAATATAAAATTTACATATTGTTAACATGAACTTTTACAGATTCTTTTTTCCAGATTGTCAAGGATGCACACTTATATCCAGTTACGCCTAAGGTCTCCAACACACATAATTTAGTCTCTAATAAACCATAGAGCTCTATTAGCAGTTTTCTTTCATTGCAATCTTTTTGAAGGACAAAAGAAAGTAGATCTCTCACATAAACTTGAAACAATAGCTCCTTTCTTATAAGTCTACTTTTGAGTTGGCCAATAGCTTTTCCATCAAGAGGAAAACTAAATTAACTTTTAGAAATGCTTCTTTTCTCCATGGCTTGTGATACATCTGAAAATGTATCACGATTATCCAAATCGGGATCTTTATCAACTTTTTGAAATTATCCCCCAAAACCTAACCAGTTTCTGATATCTATATTAAAAACTGGAAGTTAAATTTTAGGATAATGTAACAAGGTATTTCTTGACAAATATAGAATCTTCTTTCTCAGAATTGGCAAATTTTATAAGTTTCTGCTTTAAAAGACGCCAGCGATCAATATATGTTTCTGATATATCAAATTCAACTCGGCATGTTGCTTCATCAACTTAACTAACATTAAGATTGTCTCTGATTTTCATTTCAGTATCTATCAATAAGTTCGCTTATGAATGTTCAATGAGTTTAATTAACTAGTTATCACTGTTTAAATTAGACCCATCAATATCAAAATCATTGCAAGCATCGGAGAATAATCTTTGATAATATATACTCAAGCTTTCTTTAACTCCTCAATGTCTTCAGAAGCTATATTCTGAATAAAGAACTAGATTTCACTCTAATTAATTTTTAAAAAAATGTCGATTTTCTTTAATAGCAGATTTAACAGTACCGTCATGAACACCAGATATTCCTAAATTAGGTAGACATTGAATCAGAATATCAAGAGGTAATCACAAAACACTTTATTTGGTGACAAATAAAGAATAGAGACGAACAATAGACTCTTAACGGAGATAATTTTTGTAATAATTAACTCAATGAAATAGTATATTAGCTCAAATGATGCATCTCAAATAAATTAAAATAGTAAATTACTCAGTTATCGCATTAAACTCGAAAAATACTTGGACTCAGTAGTACGTTAATCTACTCTCAACATTGAAGCTTTTAGAACACCAATAACAATCATTTTTATCGGGAAAAGAAAAAAAGAACTAAAAGCGTGTAGTTTGCACTCACTTGGAAAGTAAATATTATGTAAACATTTCAAATAGTGTATTTGTTAAATGTTTATTCATCAAGCTATTTATTTCGCTTTAATCCTATGTCTAATTTTTGACTACGCTACAAGAAACATTCTAAGGGACGTTGTTTTTTTATTGTTGTTTCATAGACATTTCCTAAGGTCCACTGTGTGTTTTATCCACATTACGTCTAGCATAGTTATTCAGGGTGCGTAGCCAAATTATTCAACAAAAAATAAGCACCTTTTAAGCACTCAAATAATATTTCTAAGCACTTTAAAAAAATATCATAATTAGGTAAGGTTGAAAAGTTTTTGAGAATTGATGGTTTTATCTGGTTCTAATCGTCATGTGAAAAAAACAAACCTTTTGGCATTGTTTCTGACAATTGTTAGACTTTTTGAATCAAGTAAATCGAATGGCGTTTTCATACGCTATGGACTGATGATGCGCCGAAATAGTTTGGGGTTGAATTAATTGTGAAAACGTTGAGTTGAACAATGTGTCTTTCTGCATAATTTGTAGCAAAAATCAACATGGTAAAGGAAAAATCTCATTTTAGAAAAGGGAAAATTAAGCACTTTTTAAAAGCACCCAATGAAATAAGCACCTTTAAGGGCTTTTAAAAAACGCTACGCACCCTGCTACTTATAAGACGTCTAATGGATCATGTGGAAGAATACTGGTCGTCTACTGGATGGATTATGCCGCATGGGATCGCACATAAATTCAATGCCCGATTGCGCAAGCAGCTCATACACATAGTCTTTAACCAGATTTTTTCTCTAAGGTGTGGCAATCATACCTTAATTATTAAGTATAATATCAATTTTATAAAGCAATAAAATTTACAATTGATAGTAAATTATTAAGTATGGTGTCAATTTTATTATGTAATAAATAGAAAGTGATTACAATATTTTACATTTAAGGATATAACAATTATTCTTTGTACAGAAGAAATGTTGCTTTATAATAAAATGCATTAAAATAATATTTGTAATTCACACACATTCAAAAAAGCAATAGTAAAATATTATCTACAAATGTTTTCTAATAAAAAATAATGTATGAAAAATTCTAAAATACAACTTGTTGGATGCATTAAAATAATATTTGTAATTCAGACACATTCAAAAAAGCAATAGTAAAATATTATCTACAAATGTTTTCCAATAAAAAATAATTTATGAAAAATTATAAAATACAACTTATTGGATAATTTAAAGTGTTGCATGCATGATTTGATGTTGAAATGGAATTTTAAAAAAAATTATAGGAAATTTAAAAACAAATTATTATGATTCAGAAGATTGATTCATCAACCACTGATGATACTTTTCAAGCATGTGGTCCTTTGGTACAACCTGGAAGCACACAAATAAAGAATTTTATTTTAAAGAGAAGAATCTAGCAAACACAAACAATATAGATATAATAACAACAGAGACATAAAGCACGAGCATATTAACAATGTTTTAAAGAATCACAATTTTTGGTATTAATTGAAAAATTATACTAAAACAATTGATTAGCAACCACAGAAACCTGATACTCTTTACATCAAACACCTTTAACTGTCCATTTAGAAATTTTCTTTAAAATATAAAAGGGATGAAAAATTTTCTAGTTTATATATAAATTCTGGATATTTTTTTTTTAAGGAAGGTCTCAAACTAATAGCTATAAATGAAAGAGTTTCTTTTATAACATTTTCTATTCAAAGTTCACATCATAATTTACAAATCCATTCTTTTTGGAAACTATCCAATTTTAGGGAATTTACTACTTTTAACTCCATTTGTGTTGAATCTAGAAATTCCACCCTCTTTCCTCTTCATCCCGTCTTACCAAGTTATGAACAAATGAACTGTTGATTACAAAACCAAAACATCAACCAGTGAAGTTCAATTTATAGAGTTAAATACAAAAACACACAAATCTGTCTCATATGCGTGAAACAATTGAAATCAAAGAGTTAATGTAGCTCAAAACATGACAAGAAAGCACATTTTTAAAAATATTGTTTAACTGAAAATTGTTTTCTTTTTACCATATTATTTTAAAACTGAGAATGAATGTTATTAAAATAACAGAGATACTTTTAAAATGAATGTTTAATACAAAATTTACCACTGCAATTTTTGTGTGGTTAACGGTAGTCAAATGTTGGTTCTAATATTTTCTTTAGAATTAATGGTTTTTAAAGTCAGTATGCACTAAACTGTTTAAAGAAAGGATACTATCATATCATCGCATGTCACTCCTTTTGTGGGCAAGATTTTTGGTACAACAGAAAAATGAGGTAGAGTTAAGCCGAATTGTTTTTCTTTTGTGGATAACTAAGGTCAAATGCTTGTTTTAAATGTCTGTTTAGAATTAATGATTTTATAAAAAATAGCACATACTAAATTGCAAAATGAAAGAAGACAAATTTGTTCTTTGTCATAACATTTCACTTCTCTTAATCCCTTTTGTTGGCAGGAAATTCTGTTCAATAGAAAAAGGAGAGGTTTCTAAATCAATTAATTTTTCACAATTGCAATTATTTTTGTAGTTTACTGAAGTCAAGTCTTTGTTTTAATTTTCTCTTTAAATTCAACATTTTATAAAATAATGCATACTAAACAGGAAAAAAAAAAGATTAACTTTTCCTCGGTCATAACATACAACTGCTACCAACCCCCAACAAAACACACAATCTCTTTTTTTAAAGTTTGCAATAAAAAAATTCAGCGCTAACAAAATAAGTATATTGTTGTTAAACTTTTTATTTTGAACACCAGTATGCATGTTTAAGAAAATGCACCTGCTACATTTTAGATTTTGAAATCCATGGCTAATTCCAAGAGCTTTTCATGACCTAACGAAGTTACTATTTTCTCCCGACAAAAACAAAACAATAAATTAAAAAAGCATTATGATAACATTAATTGAAATGATAGGTATAACCAAAACTGTTATACTCTGCATCTTCATAGATTTTAAATTTAAAAAACAGAAGAAAGAAAAAGTTGAAGCAATAAAATAAGTGAAAAAAAAATACAAAAGCAAATAATTTTCTTTTTTTCAGCAGAATTATAGTCTAAAGATGCTTTTCTTGTCCAACGGAAAGGAAAGAAATACTCCGGATTTTTCTGTTCTCATTTTGGAATAAAAAAATTCGCCAATGACTGGCTTGAAATTTAAATTGATAAAAAATAAATAAATAATGATAAAAATTCTGAAATCACAGAAGTTTTAAAAGATAATTTGTTCTAGAAATGATGTTTTTTCTTTCATTTTTTGAAAGAACACCATAATTTTTACAGAATATGATAAAAACATTTTATATTTTAATAAAATATGACTGTGAGTGGGGGATTTTGTTACAAATTTAGATATTCGGAACATCGTGAAATGGGGGGGGGGAATCCATTTTAAAAATTAAATTTTTCGGTGACCTAACTCTATGATTTTCCATGATTTTTTTAAAATAAATAGTTAAAATTANTCAGACACATCAAAAAAAGCAATAGTAAAATATTCTCTACAAATGTTTTCAATAAAAAATAATTTATGAAAAATTATAAAATACAACTTATTGGATAATTTAAAGTGTTGCATGCATGATTTGATGTTGAAATGGAATTTTAAAAAAAATTATAGGAAATTAAAAACAAATTATTATGATTCAGAAGATTGATTCATTAACCACTGATGATACTTTTCAAGCATGTGGTCCTTTGGTACAACCTGGAAGCACAAAAATAAAGAATTTTATTTTAAAGAGAAGAATCTGGCAAACACACACAATATAGATATTAATCTACCAGAGACATAAAGCACGAGCATATTAACAATGTTTTAAAGAATCATAAATTTTGGTATTAATTGAAAAATTATACTAAAACAATTGATTAACAACCACAGAAACCTGATACTCTTTACATCAAACACCTTTAATTGTCCATTTAGAAATTTTCTTTAATATATGAAAGGGATAAAAAAATTTTCTAGTTTATATATAAATTCTGAATTTTTTTTATTTTTTAAAGGAAGGTCTCAAACTAATAGCTATAAATGAAAGAGTTTCTTTTATAACATTTTCTATTCAAAGTTCACATCATAATTTACAAATCCATTCTTTTTGGAAACTTTCCAATTTTAGGGAATTTCTCCTAAGTGCTATTTAACTTTCTTAATCAATTTAACTCCATTTGAGTTGGAGTCAAATTGAATTGACAATTGAAATCAAAGAGTTAAAAGTAGATCAAAACATGACAAGAACGCGCATTTTTAAAAAAAATTGTTTAACTGAAAATTGTTTGCTTTTTACCATATTATTTTAAAACTGAGAATGAATGTTATTAAAATAACAGAGACACTTTTAAAATGAATGTTTAATACAAAATTTGCTGCTGCAATTTTTTTGTGGTTATGGGTAGTCATTATTAGTTTTAATATTTTCTTTAGAATTAATGTTTTTAAAAGTTAATATGCACTAAACTGTTTAAAGAAAGGAACTAACTTGTTTTCTGTCATATCATGTCATTCTTTTAGTGGGCATGATGTTTAGTTCAACAGAAAAATGAGGTAGAATAAAACTGAATTCTTTTTCACAATTGCCAATTCTTTAGTGGATTAATGAGGTCAAATGCTTGTTTTAAATGTTTGTTTAGAATTAATGATTTTATACAAAAGTACATACTAAATTGTTAAAAGAAAGAAAACAAATTTGTTCTTTTTCATAACATTTCACTTCTTTTAATCCCCTTTGTTGGCAGAAAATTCAGTTCAATAGAAAAAGAAGGGGTTTCTAAATCAAATAGTTTTTTACAATGGCCAATTCTTTTGTGGTTAACTGAGGTCAAGTGCTTGTTTTAAATTAATGATTTTATAAAATAATACATACAAAATTGTAAAAAAAAAAGAAGACAAATTTCACTTCTTTTAAACCCTTTTTGCTGGCAGGAAATTCAGTTCAAATGAAAAAGGAGAGGTTTCCAGATCAAATAGCCTTTCACAATTGCAATTATTTTAGTAGTTTACTAGTACTATGGAGGTCAAGTGCTCAATTTTCTCTTTAAATTCAATGTTTTATAAAATAATGCATACTAAACAGAAAAAAAAGATTAACTTTTTCTCGGTCATAACATACAACTGCTACCAACCCTCAACAAAACACACAATCTTCTTTTTTAAAGTTTGCAATAAAAAAATTTCAGCGCTAACAAAATAAGTATATTGTTGTTAAACTTTTTATTTTGAACGCCAGTATGCGTGTTTAAGAAAATAGCAAAACCTCAAAATGCATGTCTAAGAAAATGGACACAGCTCAAAAAATTTCCTATTTATCTATCCATGTTTTTTGAGTTGTGTCCATATTCTTAAACACACATATTGAGCTGCGACCAGAATAATAAGCTCACAAACAACAAAATTTCTGAATTAATCGATGTAAAAACTAAAAATAAAACTCACTTGCTTCCACTCATTAACACAAAAGATTCTGTATGAGTCATTTCCATATTTCCCTATTCCATGCAGTTCAATGGGGTATTTCCATTGCTTTTTCAGGTATTCCTCTGAAAAAGGAATTCTAATTAAAATAAGTTTCACAATCAGCACAAAACTTAATGCTGAATGATTTATTTGTATTTACCAGAAAAGCGCAAAAGTATTTTCGATTTCTTTTCTTGCAGACCAAGAGGTTGTAAAATACTTATGATGTCTGAAGGTTGTGACTTTACTAAAACTTGAGGAGTGGGAAATTTATCAAAAAATTGTGATATAACCTTTTTAACAGCCTTTCCTGAAATAAAATAAATTAATTTACAGTTTATAGGAATGTTACTTTCAATGCAGAGTTTAAAATTGTTGCAGAGATCGTGGAAAATGGTCACAAAAAATAGTTATATAATTTTGAAACAAATATATGTCCATTTAATTAGTGAGCAGTTTTAAATGAACTAAAGCATTGTAAATCAATATAGAAAATTCAACTCTTCAGTGTCACTCTTTGAATAAATAATTTTGAACTTCACCTTCATCTAACATTATATGAAACCTAATAATTTCAAAACAGAGTGAAACCTCCAATAGAGTGTAATATCAAAATAGAGTGAAATATCAATAGGATCAATAGGATATCCTCCAATAATATCAAAATAGAGTGAAACTAACCAGAGATGGAAAGACCACCTCGATTTGGTATCACTTTTGGGAGGCACAGAATTTTCTCCATAGGCTTTGTGTCGATGAAAACCTTTAGGAGAGACCATTAATACATCAGCACCAAATGCGGAATTATGGAAACACGAAAAAATATCAAAACAAATAAATAGATTAAAATCTATACAAAATATTTGTGTGAGGCTCCTTTTAAGAGTTCTTTTTGACGATGCAACCTCATGTTGCTGTCAGAGTGCACTAAAGATGATACTATCAAGGATTTGCTTTAGGAATTGAAAATTAAATTAGAAAAATAAAGATATTTTACAAAAAACAAGCATCTCAAACAAACAAACCTCTTCTCATCTTTTAAAGCTAACTAATTTTTATGATATAAAATTAAATTCAAACTTAAACAAAACACGATTGTTTATTTATTTAAAATAGTTTTATCATTCATAATTGGTAAATTTGTTTTACACATATAATTCTCATAGACTAACATGATCATGATAAAATAACTAGTTTCTGACAAAGAACTCTTATTATATTAGCCATCTCTCTTGATTATATTAGCCATTATAAAATCATCAAGAGATTTTTCTGTTTGATATCAGAAGGTGGAAAATAAAGCTTGAAATTGAGGATATCTTGCAAAATGCAGCAGAGTCGCACAATGAGAGATTGCAATAAGCTTACCGAAGTCAGCTCAGTAGACGCTCATGCGAACTCGCAAGTATTTCATCAAACATGTAAAATGATTGGGGCTTTTATACGCGATGAACTAAGGTACGCTGAAATAGATTGGGATTGAATGAATTGTGAAAACGTTGAATAGAACAATGTGAAAAGCAGGCTTTAGCATAAAACGTGGCAAAAATGGACATAGTAAAAAAAAATCTCATTTTTGAAAAAGGAAAAATTAAGCACTTTTTAAAAACACCCAATGAAAAAAGCACCTTTAAGGGCTTTTAAAAAAACGAAAATAGAAAAACCCCTCTATAAGAACTTTTTAAAAACGCTACGCACCATGCAATATAAAAAAAAAAACCTAATATTTTTAATACAAACTTTTATCCTATCATAAATATTATTAACACAGTTTTTTAAGTCTACTATTTTCAATAAATTGGTGAGTTAAATTACAGTTGCCAAATTATTATTGCAATTCAAATAAGTAGTATGTGAAAGTTTAAGCAGCTAATAATTTATATAGTTTTAAAAGTGAGCTGCATCAGGTATTTCTTTAGGCTTTTTAACCCTTTGCTTACGGCTGGTGCAGCAAGTGGACCAGAATGGTTTCATCATGCTAAGTGCCGTAAGCAAAAGGTTAATAATTACTTCCAAAGGAAAACAATTTTTCAATTAAATTTTTTAAAGAACATTTAGCTACTTTCATTGATCAAATTATTAAAAAATATCACATGCTTTACTAGAAAATAATTTACATTTTTCCTTATTTTTCAACCCAGCGTTGTGCAAAATTTTTTCACGTTATAAAAATGAGATACTTTAAAGTTATTACCATCTCTGTTTTAAATTTTTTCATTCTAGTTTGAATTTTATTTTTAAAATAATACAGAAATATTTAGGGGTAATAATGGCAGTTTACAAGCAACCCTTCAAAAGTTTTAAAGAGCAATTTTTATTAAACTGATTATTAAATGAGGTAATAGCTTCACGAGTTGTCAGTATTGTCACAAACTAATCAAATCCTGCATAAATAAATAAAATAAAACATTAAAAACGACTTTCTTATTTGCTATTTTTAAGCAGGGCAAAAAATCACCACCTTTAAAAACTGTTTATTGACGAAAAAAAAAAGCAAACCCGAAGCTATTTATTCTATTTAGAGAAACAAAGCTCAGTCACGGTAAAAATTTTATGAAGCACATAGCAATATGCATAGTTATGGTAAATCAGAGACTATAGTATATCTACCAAAATATAAGTATATATTCATTAAATATTTAATAAATGTGTTAAAATTGGTGAAAACCTGTAGTTTTTTGTAAGCATATTGTAGCTACAAGCATTTTCCACGGATCATGATACAAGTCCTCTTGTATTAAATTGTAAGGAGATCGAGGTGGATCCCATTTTGAAAGAGTCCTGAAAAAACAAGGAACTGATTCAAGTAGCTTTTGCTTTCTAGATCTGAAATAAGGACTTCTTTTGCCTGATGTTCTTGTCTTGATGATTCCACTTGTACCTGTGAATAATTTAATATAATAAATAATACAGTACAGAACCCGTTATCCGGAAATCAGAAAAGCAAAAAACTGGAACGAAATTCGATAAATTTTCTCGCCATTCTTAAAAAAAAAAAAATTCTTTTCTTCATAAGATTTTACGATTTTTCTTTCTTTTTTTAAAGATGTTTACCTTACCATCATTTTGGAAATAATCATTAGTGCATTACTTAATCGTTTTTTCTTACTTTTAAGATTATTTCCAATTTTTTTTTTTTTTTAGTTGGGTTTAACAATAAAAAAAAAAACAGCTTTTTGTAGCGATTCAGAAAACCGGAAAAATCAGTTATCCGGAATAGCGATGGTCCCGACCGTTCCGGATAATCGGTTCCCTACTGTACATAATATTTGTGTGATTTTTTCATACTATGAACATAAATTGAAAAAAAAAAAGGTTATTAAGTTGTCCTCAAAATTCCAAAAATTTAGTTATTGTTATCATCACCAATATATTTTTAATACCAAGACATTGTAGAGATTTTCAATAAAACCCCAAACTTACAGTAGTTTTGATCCATAACTGTCCTAGCAACTTCTTCCTGATTTTGTTAGTAAGAGAATTCTATTTATTTGCAACACCAAAATCTTTAAAAAAAGTTTCATTATTTTTTTTATCATTTGAAGTAAGCAGTTTTCTACAGCACAGTATAAACTATAAAGTGAATATTTAATATTTGGTATTTGTAATAAATAAATTTACACATCCTACAAGCTGCAACAGTTTTTAAACAGTTAGACAATTCGTGCATGATCTAACCTTAAAAAAATGAATATAAATTTGTTTCTCACAGAAGACTCGGATAGGAAAACTGACACAGAAGTACAAAATATAATATTAATCAAAAAGAAAACTGGCTACTCCCAATACTCTAATTTAAGTACACTTAAGTCCGGTTTAAGTTCAATCTTTCAAGTATACAGATAAAATATGGTTAAGAGCTAACTTTTGAAACTTTGCAACAAAGAAACCATTATAGTGACTCCTATTATATTACACTATAATGGTACTTTATTTACAGCACTATATTAGACACTGCAATCTACGACATTAAAAATTCTGATATTCTTTTCTAAGATGCTATTCTCTTGTCTTTCTTAAATTTTGATATTATGGATAAAAAAATTTATTTCATGATGACTAAATTTGAGATCAATTAAAATAGTTCACTAACTAAATCAATTAAAGTAATTGCAACTAAATCAATTAACTAAATCAATTAAACTAAATCAATTAAAGTAATCTTAAAGAAGAATATTGTTAAAAAATGTTAACGTAGAAGAACAGAAATAGGGAAAGTTAGGTGAAACTGAGTTCGTGAACGTTATGCCTAATTTGTGATATTAGAAAATATTTATATTTCAAAGAAATGCAAACTTTTCAATATTACAGCATAAAATTAATGTTAGAGGAAATGAAAAAAAAACTAATGCTAGATTTCATGATAAATAATACTGTTATTGATAATTGTCAGAGCTGAAAAGTAGAGCCATCTGGCGCTAAAGAAATACTATTACACAATACCTTGGGTTGTTGAAGAAATAATTGCTTGACCGAGCTTTTTTAATTTTAATTCATCTTTTACATCAGAAATTGTCTCATAATTGGTAGATGGAACTTCTAAAAATAAAAGATTAAACTTGGAAAATTGAACATAAATTATTTTATAGCATTGGAAATAGACATAACTTGAATATTAAAAGAAAAACAGAGCTTGATGTATAATAATACCTGTATTCTGATTAAGTGATAAACTGTTTTTGGAAACTTCAATATCTTTTCGAAAAACTTCTTTTTCAGCTTCCTGATCAGAGCTGGGGAGATATATTATCAAATTTAGAATAGATAATTAGAAAAAAATCAAGAAATAGAATAAATTAAAATTAAGATCTGTGAAAAAACTTTTTTTCCCCCCTTAATAAGATAAAATGGTTACTGTAGCATGATTACTAGTACATGTTATAGCTATAAAATACATAGTCAATAAAATAATCTCAAAAATAAAAACACTTTGTAAATGCCATTTTTTATTAATTTGATTATTAAATAATTTCAATTGTATAAAATATTATTTTTGTGATGAATATTCCTTTAATTTGACAATTTAGTCTAATTTTAAAGTAACATTTATTAATAAAACTAAAAACAAGCACAGGAAATTAAACAGCTAACATATTTGAGATTGTAAAGTTCATGTTAAAATTGTTTTCACCTATTTCTTAACATTGCATAATTTATCTGGTCAATAAATATTTGAACTTTGCTCTGCAAGTGTTCTTTATTGTATTCAGATTTTCTATATCCAGATGTGAAGTCTTCATTAACCCCTTGCCTGCCGCAGGGTGTACAGATACCATTCACCAAGTCGATGCCTTTCCGAAGTACGCATTGCCATACGCTGCTATCAGTAAAATTACTCTCACAGCTTTGGAGTGCAATAGAAAGATCTTGAGAGTATATTCAAAGGATTTCAGTCGAGATGGGGTGGGGAAAGAAAGAGTAGTTTCTGGAAAGTAAACCCCAGACTTGCAATTATTGCTTGTGTTTCTTTCGAGTAGTACAAGCTTTTTTAGTTTACTAACTTTTACTTCGTTTTTTAGTTTGCTACTTAGTTTTCTGTTTTTGTAAACTTTTTATTTTTTGTGCAAATATGTCTGAGTGAATTATATGATTAGAGTTTATGTGTTCAAACATGTTTTAGGATATATCACACGACAGCAAATTTCTAAAAATTTTTTCATTATTATACTTTAAATTTTGTATACTTTCTTGCTTTTTTTGTAAAAGTAAACAGTTTTTAGATTGAAAAGTGTGTCTTTTTTCCCCTAATGCACACAAAACTATGAGCGCCTCTGTGGAAGCCGATGGCACTGGGGAGGGGGGGGGGTTAATCCTGAAATTACAAATTAGAATCTTGAATTGAAATTACAAGGGGTTAAAAGTACAAATTTAAACACCTTTTCTCTTCTGACACTTCTTCTTTAAAGACATTCTTCTCTGTTTTTTCTTTTAAACGAATATGTAATGTTAACTTGTTAAATGTAGAAACATGTTTGAAAAATAACAAAAAATGGGGGAGACTGTCAAGTCCCAGATCAAACAGAATTTAATAATTAGAAAGTCTACATTTTGATATTAATTACAATATTTTTTACTGTAATTAAAACTCACAACTACCATCTTTATTGTCATAACCCACTAATACTACCTCATCTCCCACTTGCTTGGTTTACATTTTAATTTTCTGATTTTCACTCTTCTAAATCATTATAGAGCATAAGTAACAGATATGATATAATTTTAAAAAACAATTTCTTAAAATTTCATCTTAACTTTAACAATATTGTAAATCTCTAATTCATTTCTCTTTGTGTGATCAAGGAATGGGAGATATTTTTAAAAGTTTTTACACATGCATAATTCTAAAAATATTTAAGGAAATGCAAAAATGCTTTTTGAAATAAGTACTTATGAATTACAACATTTATTTTATCCATCATTAATTACATCTTGCAAAAACTATAACTAAATAAAAATTCTGACATGCAACTTGCACTGTAACTGAAAGTTGGTACATTCTTCCAGACATGATATGTACTTATCACTTCAATTGTGATAAGTCAATTATTTTTGAATAATAAAGAAAATAAGTATTGAAAATATAGGTAATATTTTGATTTATAGTTAGTTTAAATTTAGTGTTCTAAAATGGATTTTTTTTATCACACAAATTCTTATAAGTTTGCATCTAAAATGATTGAAAACAAGTATAATGCCAGGGTTATCCTAACTGAAGAATGGGTCAGAAATTAAAAACAATTATTATTTTAAACAAAATTGCAGGTGTCCCACCCCTTCCCCACTGTTTAAATATTTGTACTTTTATGTTACACTGTTTTACAGATAATTGCAATTAAAAATAAAAAAATGTGCGTTAATAAATACACACGTAAGAATTTAATCACATGGAAAAAGTACAGACTTACAAAATAAAGTTTTATTAGATGTTAAAGTTTTGGATCAATGTTTTGGTTCCCAAAATAGTATTAGAATTCTGCATCAGCTGCACCACACTTTGTATTAAGTCTGTTATACTAACAACTAATTTCATTACAAGGCTTTCACGAGTTACTATGCATCTACTAATAGTCACAACAAAAGGTAACAAATTCATAAAAACTAATTCATAACTTTAATATTTTGAAAATGTTAAAACAATTAGAAATTCAGCATTAGTAAATTTACTTTTTATCTGTTTCTCAAAAGGTATTTGCATAATTTTTTTTTCCTTCAGCAGTTTAAGCTCACAAATGTTCAAAAATATTTTTTAATGGCAAACAATTGAGCACAGAAAGTTTAAACAAGGATACCAATATACAAACACGTTCAATAATAGAACCTTTTAAAATAGCCAGTGCAAAATGGAAAAACCATTAAAATGAACAATTTTATGCAAACTATGACACAATATTTAAGATAATACTTACATTGAAAAATTTTTCAGAATTTTATAATCAATAAAAGGAAACAAAATTTACAAAACGATGTTATACTGAAATTTAAACACCTTAAAGTTTTTGATTTTGGTTCTTAGAAATTTTAAACATTAAAGTAATTAAGTTTAAATTAGATAGTTGCACGTTCTTGAACAATAGAGATAATAAATTTCTAAATCTAAAAATAAATCAAGAAGAATAAAAAAAAAAGTTCCCTTTATTTTAGAAACTAAACACTCTCAATAAAAAATATTAATAAAATTCTTTGATTTAAAATGAATATGTAAACTTACTGTTATAAAATATAGTAAAAAAATTTTTATATTGAAGTTCACCTTCTATTTAATGCTCTCTCAATTTGTAAGTAATATTAACTAATTTATTTTATTTAAAATTAGCAATTCTAAAATTTACCATCATCCAAATTTTAGTTTAAGAATTTAAATAACAAACAGGAATTTAAATTAAATTTTGAAAAAAAAAAAAAACAAACAAGAAAACAATTCTAATGTTAAAAAAAACACATATTTCAATACATTTTATAAATAATAGGTGATTTTAATTAAGTCAAGTGAAATCAAGTTTTTATAGTTTTATTCAATTGTAAATGATAATGAAATAAAAGACAGATAAAAGAATTAATAATATAAATTATTATAAATTTAAAAAAAAAATTTAATTATTTTTCTTTTAATATGTTAACCTTTATTTCTTTTTATTTTGAAATAAGTAAATTAAAGGCACATTGAAAATGCAAACAAATAAACCATGGAAAAAATGCAACATTTTCCAATTCAGAGAGACTATTACACTACTTTTTTAAACTCTCCATCAAGAAATAAATTAAAGATTCTTTCTTTTTGTTTTATCACAATTTCTTCAATTTTTAAAAATACTAAAGAAGAAGTTTTGATTAAAACAAGAGATTTAAGGAAAACAACAAAATCTAAGAGAGTTGACAACTACGAGTTTTTAATTTTTATGAAATAAAATCATAACTGCTATACAGAAATAACTATGGTGGTGGTGAGTTATTAAACAGAGAGCTAAACCAAAAATATTTGAAGAAATTCAATACCAATTGATAAAACTTACTTAGTAAGAGATATTTGAGAATCATTTCCTATTAAAATGGATACATTTTTATCCTCGTCCTGAAGACAGAAATCAAAATCAGTAATTTTAAATGGAGAAAGAGTTTGTTCTAAGTACAGCTGGAGACTTCGCTTTGATCTAAAAACTTTCTGATCAGGGCTAAAAAAATAAAAACTTTTAGTTTACATGTTTTAAATTACTATTTACGTATATATATGTATGGGGTGTACCAGGATTAATGGGACAAACTTTATGAGGAAGTAGGCAACATCCCATGGATTAAAATTTGCATAGCAACTCATGGTCGACAATGTCTTCATCCACCGCTAGGCGCTGTTGTTCACAAGATAGATAGGCTAGGGAACCGGTCCACCAAGCTTTCTTGATTTAAAGATAGATTTCTTTCTTTGGGATGCACTAAAAAGTGCTATGTATGCAATGCCTTTGGATTATGAAATGAATCTGGTTGCAAAAATTGTCCGTGCTGCGGCGGATATGCAACAAAATCAAGTTGTATTTCAGGGAGTCATCCAATCCATGGCCTGATGATGGCACACTAGCAATGGTGGAAACTTTGAACATCTTTTGGGACATTTTCACATATCCTCTACCACAGCACATGCAATTTTTAAACTAATAAATATTTCAGATGATCTCAGTCTTGTGTCTCTTTGTTTCTTGTAGCTGTCATGTTACTTGACAGATATTATATCCTATGACATTTCCAACCATGGGTTGCTGTGCAATTTTGAATCCTTGTGATTCCCCCTACTTGCCTTAAAGTTTGTCCTAATAATACTAGGACACCAACCTTGCATGATAACAATTTGTAACATGATATAAAAAAATATAATAATTAAAAAATGATACCAAATTATTATCAGNCAATTGTTGTTACACTATGAATTGTTATTACACAAATGTTATTACGCTATGAAGCATATGTAACAATTAAATTAAAATTCACAAAAAACAAGCAAAATATTAAGCAATTATTAATAAAAAAATTAAAAATTAATACTAAAAAACAATTAATAAGCGTAAAAAACAAGCTAACAATAAATAACTAGCAAAAAAAATCAACAATCCTGCTTAAACTAACATCTTAGAACATAATATAAGTTATTAATCATCTAATCTGCAACAACAGAAGTCACATTGATGTTACTTTAAGTTGAATTACTTGTATAACTGAGACATTGCAAAATGTATTTTTTTTCAATGTAAATAAAGAGTTTTGAGTTGATAGCATTTAGTATTATTATTTTCCCAATAATTGCGAAGTTAAAATTATTTGACGGCACGTCTATGACCTCATTAAGCAATTTTTTAGAGAAAATGGCACGTTCGTGTATAAAGGTTCGCCACCCCTGTCCTATGACATTTCCAACCATGGGTTGCTGTGCAATTTTGAATCCTTGTGATGCCCCTACTTGCCTTAAAGTTTGTCCTAATAATACTAGGACACCCACCTTGCATGATAACAATTTGTAACATGATATAAAAAAATATAATAATTAAAAAATGATACCAAATTATTATCAGGGTGCCTAGCCAAATTATTCAACAAAAAATAAGCACCTTTTAAGCACTCAAAAAATATTTTTAAGCACTTTAAAAAAATATCATAATTAGGCAGGGTTGGAAAGTTTTTAACAATTGACAGTTTTATCTCGTTTTTAAAGTAATGTTAAAAAAAAAAAAAGGCATTGTTTTTGACAATTGTCAAAAATCATGCAATTTTGAATCATGTAAAATGAATGGCATTATCATACGCTACGGACTGACAATACGCCGAAATAGATTGGGGTTGAACTAATTGTGAAAACTTTGAATAGAACAATGTGAACTGTGTCTTTTTGCATAATTAGTAATGAAAATCAACACGGTAAATGAAAAATCTCATTTTGAAAAAGGGAAAATTAAGCAATTCTTAAAAACATCCAATGGAAAAAGCACCTTTAAGCACTTTTTAAAAACATTATGCACCCTGTTAATGTACACGCTTTATTTCTCCCTCCCAGACTTACCACTTCACGGATCTCCATTGATTAATCCATAAAGTGAATTAAAATTAAAATGACATTAAATATTTAACTGGCAATTCAGAAGGAAAATTTGTGCATAGACTTGCTGTTTCTTTTTGTTTTAATATATTATACTTGCTAATTTTAGTAGCATTGCCTTGTACTTGCCACTGCACAGTCCTTCGAAGATAGATTTCAAATGTAAATTGAAACAAATAATTTCAGGATTATACAGTCAAATAAAAATAATTACAAAAATAAGGAGAACAAGTGTTAAATATATTAATAAAAATCACTATTTTAAAATTATTTATGTATTGAATTGAAATTAATCATCATCTATCAGATTTTATCAGGCTTGATGCAAAATTAACTAGCTTAAACGAAAAATATTATTTCACTTCTACAGGGTTCCCACTTAATTTCAAAGTAAAACCAGATCATATTTTATCTATGCCATGCAATTTTTCATTGGAAAACTATGATTTATTTTATTTGTAATATTAAATATTAGATTTTGAGAATAAAAAAAATCATTAAATGATAATGAACACATGTTAAAGTTTCACTAAACTGCAACAAACAATTGAAGCGGTAAATTTTAAAAGGGAATATGTAACAAATCTGCACTTTTGAAAAAAAAAGGTGTCAATCGTGGAAAGATTGTTTTAATTGCTTCCAAATTGTTGGATTATCTTCTTTAGGCAGCCTAAAAAACTACATGGTATTTGATGATCGGTGATTGATGTTCCAAAACCAATAAAAAATTATTTTTGTAAAAGTTATATACCCCCTTTTAACATTGATCCATTTAATTTTAATTGATAGAATTATTTAACTCAAATCTCAATAACTGATTACTGTTACTGAGGTTTTTAAGACTGGTTATTTTCCAGATATGATGTAGGAATTTTCTAGGTTTTTGTAAAAAAATGTAACTTCTCCAAACTATTACCAGCTTTTTAGAGTCAAAATAAAATTCTCTGACAATTCAAGGTTTTACCTGCCCCATGAGAGCCCTGTTATAACATTTAAAATGATTATGAGAAAGCTTCCTGCATCATCAAAATTAACCCTTTGACACAAATGTCCCTTTTATATATATTTTTTCCTGACGCTCTAAATGTAAGCAAAAATATATTTGTGTAATTTTTATTTATAAAAAACAGTCTAATAGTTACTTAAAAAATCTGTTAGAGTATTGCAATTACATTTGTACTAAAATATAAACTCCAGAAAAGTAGTAATTGATTTTGTAAATTATAGAAATTTTAATGATGAATAACTATATCTCTTAGATTTGATTAACTGCAAATTTGAAAAATTATTGTTTGGAAGTGAGCTGTATTTAAAAGATTTTACCTTTTACGTAGAAAAAGACACCAGTAATTTATGCTATGTTTCATAACCATAAATTATTAAAAATTTATAATATACATTTTGTATATTTTGACCTAAATTAATGCAAAATAGAAAAAGTATGTTTAATAAAAATTCTCAGGGGTGATTGTGAGCCCAACTCAAAAATCCTGAAAATGTCTTCAATAAAATCATTACATAATTACTTATTGCAAAAAATTAATGTCTTTATAAATTTAAATCATTGATATTTTCAAAACATGAAATTCTAAATAAATTTTTGGCAGCATAATTTAAATTAATAATTATAAATTAGAAAGAAAATTAGTAGAAAAAGACACCAGTAATTTATGCTATGTTTCATAACCATAAATTATTAAAATTTATAATATACATTTTGTATATTTTGACCTAAATTAATGCAAAATAGAAAAAGTATGAAAAATATGTTTCATAAAAATTCTCAGGGGTGATTGTGAGCCCAACTCAAAAATCCTGAAAATTTCTTCAATAAAATCATTACATAATTACTTATTGCAAAAAATTAATGTCTTTATAAATTTAAATCATTGATATTTTCAAAACATGAAATTCTAAATAAATTTTAGGCAGCATAATTTAAATTAATAATTATGCATAAGTTTACTTTTATCTCTAATCACATTTATTATTCTACTAGAAAAATTATTTACAAATGAAAGAGATGCCAAGTATAAATTCGAGTTCCAATATTTCGAAATAAACATAATTTTTTTTTAATACATAAATGTGATCAATAATTTCTTGAAACTTTTAAACCTCGGATTTTCGGAGTTTTTCCGGAGCACAATCATCTCAGAATTCTACATCAAAGGGATAACGGAGTAAAAATAAGTCACAAGTTCATAAATTATGTACCCATAAAAATAGATGTCAAGTTTTCCAGCAGTTTTTCCTGATTTTCGTCTTCTGATTTCTCTTCGCCAGCCTGTTGGCAGAGGCATATTCCTCTGCGTCATATTTGACACCTCAGACTTGAAAATCTTTAAACAGAGAGTAATAAAACTAATTAGAATGAACTGAATTTAGTAAGTGCATGCTCTAACAAACTATGCATCAAAATCTTTTATTTTTTAAAACAAGGAAGGAAATTTTTGACATTGTTTCCTAAATCACTCGGTAAGATAAGAATGAAAGTGTTAGCTCAACTTTGAAGTTGATTATAATTGTAACTATTTTGTGAAGTTAGATTTTTAATAGAAGTTATTTATAACTACTCATGATAGATTCTAAAAAGAAATCATAACATTTCTAGAATAAATTTTATCTCATTGAAAAATTTTATTTAAGTTTTGTTTTAGTACTTCAGAAAAATTATCTGTGAAAGATTCATATAACAAAAAACATAAAATCAACAATCACATTCAAAATTTTTAGTGTTCCAGACAATAAATTCTTTGAGAAAAAAAAAAATCCATTTATTTTAGCTCAGATTAGGGTTTGAAAAAACTAGATTTTTATTTAAAAAAAAAATTTTTTTTCTATTTATTTAAAACAAAATGTTAATATTTTTTGCACAAAATTTAAAGCAACTAAATCGTTAAAAAGGATTTCATTGAAATCTTTGCTAACTATAAATCAATATTTTCACAAAGTAATACAAAAATGTTCACCTTTGGTCCTTTACTATTATAGCATGATAAAAAAACAAACAAAAACTTAAGATTTGAAACGTGCATATCAAGCGTGAACTTTTTACTAGCCAGCTCATCATTGGCACCCAATTATTTAGGACTGGCAAGTAAATTTTGTTTTGTAAAATATTGTATTTAAAACTATCATACTTTCCCCCCAATTTGCAGACAAATATTAAAACTAATGAGCAAGAGTTATAGATTTTACAAGAAAGATTAATAAAGCAGGGGGGAAGATATGGTACATAAAAATAACAGACTGAAATCTATGTCATCAGATGGGTTTAACACCTCTTGCCTATTTTTGACACTTTGGATTTTCCTCTATAGGAAAAAAATTCTTGAACTTGATATAGAGTATAAATTTTTTTTTAATGAAGTTTACCGTAAATATCGCTAATGAACAAGTAAGTGGGCAGAATTCAAGTTTAAGTTCATTTCACTGATATACAGTCATATGTAGGTGAAGTTTCACAGAAAAAGAATGTTCAATGAGTTTCCAAAAAATAGCTTCCAGTTAAAGCATTTTGTGCTATTTTAGTTTTTAGAATTGGACAACTAAAAGCTCATTAAATTACATCTGTTAAAATTTTAAAAATTGTTCTAATTTTTGTGCAAATAATGGCGAGCAATAATGTCAGCCTGGCTTGTACCGCTAGAACTGAAATGTTATGCCCTGTGCTTTATACACAACTTTACAGAAGCCATAAAAAGCAACTGCTTAAAAGAGCAATTTCCACGAAATTCATATCATGTTTGGATTTTATGCAGCATTTTAACGACAGAATAGATGGAAACATACTTTACTCTAAACAACACCACACCTAACATAAGAAAATTGAATAGTGTTTTGAACTCCTGGGTACCAGATGTTAAAACATGTCTAAAAATAATAATAAAGGGCAAAATGATTTATGGAAAAGGCAATTTTGAACATTTCTTTAAAATAATTCGTATCTTATTGTTTTTACTTAAATTTTTAGTACCGAAGAAAAGGAATTTTTTTAGCCTTTAAAAAAGGAGTTAACAAATATCTAGAATTGCCCTTTCCAAATACCAACTAAAAAAAAAAATATGCTAGGCTTTCAATCTCTATAAAGACAATAAAGATAGAAAAAAGGCAATGTAGTCAAAATGTCCCCACTTTGCTCAGATATTTAAATATTTATCCAAAATACACACTTATCTATTGGCGATTGAAATGGGCAACAGGTGGGGAATATTAGAACTCTTTACCGTTTCGGTCTTGATTTTCTAACCGAATAAAAATTTGTAAGCTAAGAAATTATATGAAACTCAATAAATTAAACATAGTGCCTAATCTAAGCATCATGGAAATATTAAAATATAATTTTAATATTCTAAATGCAAAAATATTAGGAAGAAGGAAACATTGTAATATATTACAATATGTCCTAACAGAGGAGGAGAAAGAAAGGAGTAGGCTCTAGATATGGAACTGGTCTTTTTCCCAGATGGCATAAGTGTTGCAATCGCAAATCAAAAATAAGGAAATAAATGTTTCTATTTTGGCAAAAAGACAATTTTGAACAACTCGAGCTTATATGTTTTTGTTCCCCATCAAATCTATTTAAACTGTATATGATGTAAATAAAAAAAAATCAAGTACCAAAATAAGAAAGCGACACATCACTTAAAATTTTTTTTAGATTTCAAACATATAATTTACTTTCTTTAATTACAGAGAACAAAACATTTAATATTATTGGAAAAACAGTAATTTTTTTTTTAATTGCTTAAAATTCCAACACATATAGGCATTTAATTAAAAACAAAATATCCAGATTTTTGATTAAAGTTTTGAGTTAAAAGGTATGAAAGCAGAACTGTTAAAAAAAATGAATTAATGACTTTAAAAAAAAAAATTTTTTTTTTAAAAATTATACTTTGAATTTACTGATCATCAAATTTAAATTAACAAATTTATTGCACTAAAGGTCACCTAATAAAATGTTCCGAAAGTGTGATTTTTTAAAATTTTTTACCATAAAACTTAAGAATTTTGTAAAATTCTCAAATTTTTAAGACAAAAATTTAGTAAAAATAACTGTGATAAGAACATAAAAACACAGTTTTAAAAATGGATGGATAATTGAATGTAAACAATAACAAGCTTTCTAGAGTTGGAAGAAATATGGATAACTTCCAATGTATCTTTCTGGTTATGCTTCTTTATCACTTATTTGACTATATTTATATAAAATATAACCATTTGTTTGGATAGAATAGCATGTTAGCAGAGTCTACCAAACTTAATTGTTTATTTCTATTGAAAGTTAAATTGAAAGAACACGCTTTTCCAAGCTTAAGCCTATAAATAAATTGGAAGTAGTAACCCTGAAGTCTTATGATGAATTTTAATCTTGTGTGCCACCTGTGCTCGCTTTATCGTGTTATCCATCCATACATAGCCTAAAACTGAAATATTTTCGAGATGACTGAATAATAAACTGTCATAGTAATTTGATAAAAATCACTGTTATTTACAGGATGTATAATTTAATAACATAGAGGAGGTGCCAATATAGAAGTTTCTGTAAAGGAAAGTATGTATACAAGAGCAAATAAGAGAAAATTTTAAAATAATTGGCTCTAAACCTTTTAATATTGTGATAAATGGTTTTAAGACATTAGAATCTTTATTAGACATTACAAAATTTCTGGCAGCGTTTCACAACAGGATTAATTCATATCTTCTTTACGAACAAAATGAATTTTTTAAACTGATTATTCTATTTTTCCATTCTCTGATTCCGACAGCTAAAATTCTAAAATTTTTTCTGAACTTTTGTATAAAATTAAATCACTAAAACTTACGCAATAGGAATAAAAAATTAGACAACTCATTACAAACATCAAAACTAGCTTATTTGATTAAATTCAAAAGAGAGGAGGTAAAATATTTTCAAGAGAACCTACATTAAAAATGATAATTTCAAAAATACTTAAATTTTCTCATTTTTTTAACTCCAAATTTAGTAAAAATAAGTAATAATAAATTATACAGTATTGAACTTAAAAAATAGAAATGACACTGGACACTAATATAGAACTTTCTTTTTCATTTATTCAAACACATTTAACAATTTTTCCTTTTAATAAACTTTGTTAAAATAGGACTCAAATGCCTATCCCTTAAGTATTTATAGTCGTAAACAGAAAATAACAGAGTTGTACAATATAACAGAAAAGAAAATGAAATAAGGCTGTTCTTCAAAGGCTCTTTAGGAATATTAAGTAACACCCTTTAGTTAATAACATTATTTTTGCAACTTTTATGAGTTTGTAACAGATAACGGTACTTTCAGGTTTACCAGGTGCAGGAGGGAGAAACTTCACAGTAATATCAAAGCATTTGTGAAACAATTTTTTATTACGTGAAAAGATACTACATAAGAGCAATTTGGCTAATACGAAAATTAGAATTAATTTTATTTAGAAGAAAATAATCTTGCCAAATAGTCAAATTTTTAAAATTAATTTTTATAAATTTTATGCTTATCGAATTCATTTTGACTAGATATTAGAAAGTGAAAGACATATTTGAGAATAAGACATGTCAATTGAGCTTTTAAAGAACAGCCATACAATTGTCCGTATTAGCAAAATTTATAGGACAATTATAAAAATCAATTTTTAATACATAAATATATCTGTTATCAATAAATAATTAAATAAATTTATAATGAATTTCTAAATAACTTATGTTTGAAGTATAACCTTATAATGACCAGTACCTTAGAAAAAAAAAATAATCAGTTACAAACTTAAACCTAAGCAAGAACTATCATTAAATTTAAACCTAAGTTTTTATAAAAAAATTTTGAGATTCAACATTGAGTACATAAATATAACTGTTAACAACAATGACCTCATATTTAAAATTGAATTATTAGCACACTAAATATCACAGTTCTAATTTTAGATCACAGCTTAAGACTCTAATAGAACACAACCTTGGATCATGTACAACCAGTTCAATTTTTCCAGTATAGATATGCATGCGTAGCAATTAAAAAATGAGCTCTTGAACTATTTTCTCTCTCTTTTCTGTGAAAAATATATCTTATCTTTAAGTCCTGTAAAGATCACACTTATCTCAATTTAAAATAAGCCTCTCGTTTTTGGCACTTAATAATTTTAATCTAATTTTTATACTCTAGAACATAACTTTGAAATTTAAAATTAAATACAAGTGATAACAATCGTATAATCTCTTATTCAAAATTGAGTAATTTGCACATTCCCCTCCCCCGAGATATCACTGTTCTTATTTTGGATCAAAGCTTAAGTCTTAAATAGAACTTCCATGGATATGTGAATATCTACAAAACTTGTTCAATTTTTCCAGCAATGTATATATAGCATTTGTATATATTGATAAAAAAGCAGGTTCTCTGTTATTTTATATTAAGTCCTGCAACACTTAACTTAAAATAAACCTTCACTTTTTCAAAACTTATCAATGCTGATTTAAGCTATAACTATAAAATTGAATTTTAATCTAATTTTTATAATATAATTTTGAAGCTCGACATTACATACATAAATATAACTTTCAACATAAATGATAATATAATCTCATATTCAAAATTGAATTATTTACACACTTTTGTGATATCAGGTACGTATTTTGTGTCTTTATTAGAACATATACAATAAATTCAACTTTTCCAGTGGAATGGCAATTGTGAGTACCAATTAATATAATTGGTTCTAGATAATTTTTGTATTTTTCAATCATGTTTTGTAACCTTTTTTCAATTTTGAGAAAATATCACTCATGTTTCAGCTACTTGAAGAACACATTTCACTCAACTTGGAATAAGCCTCTACATTTTGAACAATTCCATAAGTATAAATTGAATCTTAAGCTCTTTTTCATAATAAAGATAATTATGAAATTCATCCTTAAATATATAAATCTTGCTATTAACAATGGTAATATAACAATCTCATATTCAAAATTTAATTATTTGCTACTTTCGAGTTACTACTGTTCTTACTTTGGATCTCAGCTAAAGTTTCTAATAGAACTTTCTTAGATTTGTGAACATGTACAACTGGTTCAACTTTTCCAGAGGAGGGACTTTTGTGCGTGCCGATAAAAACAATAGCATCTGGATTATTTTTGAATTTTTCAAGCATTTCTTGTACCTCTTTTCTGCGAAAAATATCATCTAAGTTTAAGCCATGTAGGGAACACAATTTACTCAACTTAGAATAAGCCTCTGCATTTTGTTGCATTTCATCCGAGGTATTTTCACAACTTTCAATTTCATTATTATTTTCTATTTTTTCTCTTAATTTAAAGGCTAAGGTCAGATCTGTATTCGGAACAGAAAGATTTGATTCACATGTCTTGCTTGTGTTCTCCTGTTTCTCTTCATTGTAAATGTTTGAACTAGATTCTTCTTTAGTTAAAATTTTCGATTCCATATTAGATATAGCTCCATTATTAGGTAAAACAATAGCGCTCATTTTTCTTCCAGATATACAACTTTTGTGGGGCTCTTTAGAGGTCTTAGAAGCTCTTTCTTCAGAATTCAATTTTGCTGAAGTTCCAGCAGATTTGACATAGTCATCGACAAGCACATAATTCAATGATGAAAGCTGTTTATTAATGCCATTTTTTGAATTCCGTATTTTTTTCTTAAGAGATTTTAATTTCAAATTTGGAGCAGATACAACTTCAGTATTTGACAAAATTCTTTTCCTCAAAGACACAGATTTTGCGACAAAATTCTGCTCATTGGATTCAAATTCAGTTATCGTTGGAGCATTTTGGTGGTCAACAGGTTTTGAAGCTTCAACATGGTTATTTAAAGAAACTTTGCTGTGTGTACAGTTATCAATTTTGCTAGTATTGTCATTGGTAGGCAGCAAAGGAAGTATTTCAGTATTAGCATTTTTAATATCAATATTTTTTTCACCTTCAACAGTTACGGAGATATTTATTTCTGGATTGGAATCAGAACTTTTCAAGTTAATAATTTTGTTTCGATCAGAAATATTTACATTATTATCAGTAGAAGATGGCTTAGTTAAAGGCACATTAATACTGCTTGTTTGATCATTTGAATCAGTAATTTTACTAGTCTTTAACAATTTTAGATTCTTTTTTTTAGCAGGAGATAAATCAGAGCTTCTCACACTTATAATTTTGTTTTCATTAGAGATGTCATTTAAATTAGTATCAGCATTAGACGTCTCAATAACAGGCACACTTGTACCACAGTTAACAACATTTACATTATTATCAACAGTACATGGCTTTACTAGAGGCACTTTAATATCACTTGCATGATCACTAAAATCAGTAATTTTAGTAATCTTCAAAAATTTTTTCTTCTTTTTGGCAGGAGTTGAATTAGAACGTTTTACATTTATAACTTTGTTTTTCTTACTGACAATATTAATTTTACTATCAGCATTAGAGGGCTCAGTTAAAGTCACATTAATATCATAAGAATCTGTAATTTTATCAGTCTTTAACAATTCTACATTGTCCTTTTTTACAGATGATGAATCAGAACTTTTTAAACATACATTTTTGTTTTTATCACAGACAACATTAAAATTACTATCAGCAGTAGCGGTCTCAATTACAGGCACATTAATATCAGAAATTTTATCAGCTTTTAACAATTTTACATTCTTTTCAGCAGCAGACGAATCAGAACTTTTCAAACCAATAATCTTATTTTTATCAGAGACAACATTTAACTTGCGATCAGTAACAGTAGTCTCTGTTACATTAATATCACAAGAATAAGTAATTTTATCAGCCTTTAACAATTTTAAATTTTTCTTTTTCCCACGAAATAAATCGGAACTCCTTATATTATTAATTTTGTTTTTGTCAGAAATAACAATCATGTTACTATCAGTATTAGATGTTTCAACTAAATTCACATTAATATTTTTATCACTTTTTAAATTTACGCCATTTGTTTTATTTTTCTGATTCAGTTTCTTATAAGATGTTCTAAGAGGTAACTTAATATCTACTTCAGATTTAGTTAAATTTGGAATCATTCCTTGTTTAGCTTCAGAATGTTTGCCCTTCTTGCATTTCAGTGAACTCTTTGACTGTAAGCTAGCTTCTGGAAAAACACTACTAACTTGAATTACATCAGAAGGTTGATTATTAAGTGATAAACTGTTTGATGTTTCATCAGAACTTCCAATTTGAATATTTGCTTTTGTGTTATTAACAAGCCATGATCTTTTTTTCCTAATTCTTTTTATACCTTTTTTCCCAACATTTTGTTGATACACTTCTTCAGTTTTAACATCAGATAAAAAGGCTTCTTGAATTTTATCAGAGACAACATTCAAATTACTATCAGCAGTAGAGGAGGGCTCAATTAAAGGCACATTAATATCACAAGAATTAGTAACTTTATCAGACTTTACCGATTTCACATTTTTTTTATTTGCAGAACATGAATCAGGATTTGTTTTTTGCAAAACAACAGGATAAAAATTATTTTGAATGCATGCATAGTTGAGATTACTACTTTCTACAAGGTTATCTGAAACGGAATTAATAATAGATTGAGAATGTTTATTTTTAGAACTTTGTTGTGGGTTTCTTTCATGAATGGACCTAGGGCTATTTTGGGAAGAAGCGTTAATATCATTTAGGTTCGTATTATTAGTACAAGCTAAAGCATTTTTACTTTTTGTTCCAACTCTTTCAGAAAAATTAAGTTGATTTTTACAGCAAATAGATTCCGATATCAAAGTTTTTTCTGAAGATTTAGAAGAAGGCTCTCGTAAAGATCTCAGCTTATTAATCAAATCATTTCTTGAATAAGTTTCAAAAAGCATTAGCATTTCCTGTTTAACATCATCTGGAATTTCTTCGAAATGTTTTGATTCATTCATGATTTAATTGGAGGCATTACAAAACGAAATTTCAAATGAAATGCGAAATGAGATCATCAAATACGCATGATCCCCGGTTACTACGCTTTAGACTACCCATTTCTGTTTTCTTAGAAGACTGAACAGGAATGCCTAAAGTTTTCATCGGGTGCTCTTGGGTTGAAAAATATTAAATTATGGTTTTTAATAATATTCACTTTCGGATGAATATTATTTAATCGAACATTCAAAATTTGACACCATCGCAGCAGTTGTTGTAGTTCATTTACGTCGCACTAGAGCTGCGCAATGGGCTATTGGCGACGGTCTGGGAAACATCCCTGAGGATGATCCGAAGACATGCCATCACAATTTCGATCCTCTGCAGAGGGGATGGCACCCCCGCATCGGTAGCCCAACGACCTGCGCGCGAAGTCGAGCACTTTACGGTAGCACAGTTTAACGAGGACCAATATTGCACACCCTCGTTCCCTAAGCAGACTGATCCAAGTGGGTCACCCACCCGCACACTGACCGCAGCCAGTGATGCTTGACTTCGGAGATCTGTTGGGAACCGTGTCTTAATGATCAGTCCACTGTGGGACCACCATCGCAGCAAAAATAAGTATTAATAAAAAATGAGCAAAAACAAACTATGAAAAGCGTATCAAAACTATTTGTTTTGTTTTCAGGGCAAACTAAACGCTCAATAACTTAGAGCAGATATATTTTTTTCTTTATTTTGAAAATGCATTTTTCGTTAAAAGCTCATAATTTCCTATAATTAAATGTACACATTCTTAGATTAGTTGAGCTTGAAAGTTATTTTTTTTTAAACCATGTAACTAGTCATAAAGCAAGGCTGGAATAAAATTGTGCCTGCCCCATGTTAAAAATTTTTTTAGATTGTGGAATGAAAATCTGAAAGATTTTCGCCATAATAAACTTTTTTCTGGAATAAAAGACCCAATAAATCACTGAAAGCAAAATTATGATTACTTTGTTTGATGAATTCATCAAACAAAGTAATCATCAAACAAAGGAACCATTTAATCATTTGTAGAGTGCCTGTATTGAAAAGAGTGATGACAAAACCCAAGAGCGCATGCACTGCCGTCATATTTTTGTCCAAGGGGGTTGCCAGATGATACACCGAAATTGGCGCCTTTCACTCATTTGGTGTCATTCTGAAGGACTTTCAACATTTTAAATTTTGATACAAACAAACTGTGAAAAATTAATTTGAAGGTATTATAATAAATTCAAATAAGTATTTACTTCTACCTTTATTTTAAGATTTAGAAATATATATATATATCAGTCTCGCACAATGGAGGGCAAAGGAGAATGACAAATTTATTAATTAATAATAGTAAATAATATATGGCATTTTGCTAATAAAAGAATAAATAAATAATTAAATAAATCGATACATTTAAAGTTTATACTAATAAAATGCATTTTTATAAGCAAAAATATAAAACTTTAATATATTATTTCATATAAAAAGAATATAAAATAATCTATTGAAGTTATTTCAATCAGAAATGAATATAATTGATTATTTAACTCTAACTATTTGCCCAAGAGTAAATACTAAAGTATCAATAATATAAACTATGAAATTGGAAAGCACATGATATTACAGATTTTTTAAGAAACATTGTAAGAAAAATTAGTATCTCATATTGTTAAAAAATTAACGTCAATGAGAAAAAAGACTTATGAAAGGACTTCAGCTTTAAATAAATGCCATAAGTATAATATAAAAATTAATAATGATTGTGTTACTCATTTCAGAAATAATAATTAACAGAACAAATTACATAATTTATTACTTTTTCAAGAAAAAATTATCGCATATTCACCTAGAAAGGTATTACTTATTTCAACAAATTGTAAACAAAAATTTCGATAATTAGTTGAAATTTAAAAAAAACTAGCATTTTATTAAGGGGGTCACTAAAAGTAAACTAATGCTACTCGGCAAACATTGTAACGTGCCAACATTTCAAAGTAATATCGCCAAACTCTGCACTTCTGAAGCTTTGATAAAAAGATGCTCAAATCTTAAAATTTATAGGTAATTTAGATAGAAATTATGTTTATTAAAAGTAAAAACATTTATTCTTATGAAATCATTAGTTATTTTATCACCTTGTTCTCTTTGCAATGAGCTAAATAAAACTTTATATGCGCGCAAGTAAGTAATAATAAGGATAAATTCAAATAACTAATAAATATTCAAATTTTCAGCCATAATTTTTACATTTACTGTAACTGTGAAGTTTCTTATTGAAAAAAAGTACGTAATGAACTTATGACATGCCTTTATTAATGCAGAACATAAATTTTTTGAGGCAGAAAATTTTCACTCAGTGTTATTCCAATGGCGAATTTTCCACTCTCGCCTTCGGCGGTAAAGTTCTTCTTTCCACCAGTCAGGAATCGTTTCTCTTTTGTGCACACTCTTCTACTCTAGGCACTCTAATAATTTGGAACCATTTAATCATGTATATGCATTTATTACAGAAGTTCCTGTCTTGGTGATTGACAGTTTAAAACTTATTACACTGTTTGCTTAGTTTGTGGCCATGTCCGTTGGTCTGAATGAGATAACAGACACTTTAATAACATTAATTTATTTTTTTTCTCAGTGAGATTCTTCTTAAATAGGATTCATATGATTTGTAAGGTGTTAAACCTTCAAAAATTATAATTTTCGCACTCTTTTTTAAATTTTTTTTTAATAGTTAGATACGTATTTAAGAAAATTCCGACGCATGTATCCTGTTAATGTATTGTGTTTAATGAATCACAATTGACTGTACTGCGCCAAACGTAAATGATATTACTTGCTCGAAGTAAGAAGATTAAATGATTGAAAATTTAGTCTGTTTATAAGTGCGGATAAAAATCCTTTCGAGATAAAATCGAGTTCTATGTTTAGAAAAAAAAATAAATAACTGGATAGGTCTAGATTTTCGAATATTGATTATGATAAAATTAAAATAAAACAATTTCTATTTTTTGAGCAAAAATGCCATGGATTGAATGCAAATTAGTTATCATTGAACACTATTACACAAATTATTAAATTGCTTAAAACTTTTTTTGCTTGTTTATGAACTGTTTGAGATGATTCACTGACATCTCAAACATCCATAGGCAGATTTACTTCCTTTCATTCCTTGTTTCATTCGTTCACTCTTCCTCGTTCATTCACTTATTCACTCGCTGTTAACCATACTTTACTTTTAAACTAAAGTCGCACTATGTCCTTTGAACCATCTCTCGTAAATGAAGATGTTTTGTATTCGAAATTAAAAAAGTCATAATTCTATAATGATCCGTCCGTTATAATTAGAAACTAATGCGCGTTCTAACTACAAAAAAAAAAAAAAAAAAAAAAAAAAAAAAAAAAAGCAAAATTATAACTAAATGTAATATTATGAAATGACTCAAGCTAAAATTATAAATATTTCATCAGCTTAAGATCGATGTAAACAACTATTAACAAACACATTATTTTATATAAATAAAAATGTTAGTTAAATAATAAATTCAGGATTCAACAAAAAGAAAAAAAAAGAGGCAAAAAGAAAGGCGGATTTGAATTTTTAGTGGCAGACATACTTAATAAAAAATAGCAATAATGATTTAGAACAAGTTTTAACAAGTGAGCTATAAAAGTTAGTTTTATGAGTTATTTTCACGTTTTATAATTTCAGTTAAAACTCAGTTCATTGTTTTAAAAATTTCAATTTTGTTCATAACAGTCGCAAGAGTTCTTTTTTTTTGTGTAATCGTTTATTAACCACGATTCATTTTTTGATGAAGCTATAATGTGCTACGTGTTAGAATATAACTGAGGATATTTATCCAAGATTAAAAATAAAAGAAACCTTTGTTTTTATTTCGAACTCTCTCCTAAAAAAAGATTTTAAACAATAAAAACGTGAGTGAAACTTCTTTTCCGATTCATTATTCCAGCTGATCAGAATACAGCTTTTTATGTATTTATCTATCAAAATAACATCTCAGAATACAATCGATTGTTTCTTTTTTTCCCCTCTACTTATTCTTTTTCTAATAACAAAGTCGAATTGGTCATGATTCCGATTCAATATTTTCATTGATTTTTTCGGGTCAAATACCTATTGTATTACATTATGAAGAAAATTAAACTTTCAAAATATCTGTTGGCATAGAAAGGAAAACATAAAATTGTTTTTCTCAAATGTTTCACTGTAATATTTATTCTTTTTCTTCCTCTTCTTTTTTTTTCTTACAAGCATTTTTTCTTTTAGAAATGGTCTAAATTTTTCTTTTGCTCGTTTATTTTTGAGATTTAAATAACTGCTTTAAAATTTTTTTACCAATTCGTGTGGATTAAAAATAACACGAAAGCAAGTTTTATTTACTTACTAGATGAATAGCCGATTTTCGTACAGTGTAAAATCGGAAGTAAATAACACAAGGGAACAAATTTTTTTTGTTGCATGATATATTTTTTTTTAAACAGATCTTAGATACTTTCGCATCTCTAAATTCAAATCTGTAATCGATTTCTCTCTCTAAGCTAACATTTTTTTCAAATGACATTTTTAATTTATTTTTTGTCGAAAATTACAAATTTAAAAATGTGCATATATAACTGGGGGTTGTTACTCATACAAACTCCCTAGGCGAGTTAGGGTACTTCCTCAGGACTAAAGTTGCATGGAATTCCATGTCCTAAAATAGCTTAACATTCGATTTCGTCTAAATATTTATATATTTTGGTAAAACGAGAGAAACAAACACGTATTACCTCAATAAAATTTGAAGTGTCAATTAAACAAAATAAAAGAAAGAAGACAACAATTGCACACAACAAAAATATTTTATTTATAACAAAAAGTAAGAAAGGTAAACAACAATTTAATTTAAAACATGTTAGTGGAGGGGAACAAAATTTAAGCTATAAATCCATTCGAAATGGGCGACTAAACAACAGTGACAGCAGCTATCCTGCAAAATCTACTGGACAGACATCTGTTTTGAACTGGATCGAAAGCATTTGAACGTTTTTCAGCGGGAAAGATTGCAATGGTCATCTTGTGTCTGTAATTAAACGTTAGAAATGGAAACAGTATTTTTTAACATGGAAATATTTAGAGATACAGTTTTATACAGTGATAACACAGCCCTACATAATATTTGAGTTAGAGAACTATAAAGCAATTATTTACAAGAACTATAAGGAGCCTATAGTGGTGTGGGGAATTATAAATCGACTATGTCAACCTTCATCTATCAAAAGGTACCTCAAAATGGAATCAAGTTAACATGTCTTATATACTAGTGGTTCGGTATTTACTATTTATAGTGGTAGTTACGCCACAGTGGCAATTATTTACACGAAAAAAAAAATTATGAATCGTTAATGAATTTCAGTTAAAAATATCCAGATAAATTCAGGAAACGATGAAGTTTTTCACGGGTTTTGTGATTTTTTTATCCATTTTTCGGTGAAAATTTTGAAATTGAGCATTTTTGAGCGTATATCGTCCATCGAGGTTGCCCTATCATTTTGATCTAAACCCTTATAACTAATTTTTTGGGACAATGTTAAAAGCAAAGTTTACGCCAATAACCCCAAAACCATTTTTGAACTTGAAAAGGTCATTCAGGAAAAAAGCATTTCTGACATTTCAGTCATGACATGACACTTTGTGACTCGCTGAAGTCATGACTCTTTAGCGAATTTTGGAGAGTTCTGCTATTCGTCTGAGCCACAACTGATGGCAGGTATATCGAACACGTCGAATTCAAATATCTGCTGTTGCTTTTAAAATACGCATAAAATCATAAATTTCAACAACATCAAAGGTGGTGGTTGTGGTGCTCCTCTCATGCGTTACCCGGAGTCTCGTAACGACGAGTCTGATATTGTTTGAAACTTTTGTATTGTTGCGGACGTTGTTATGACGGCGATATATCAATTCTGGGATATGGGATTTATGAGTGTGGGTCGCCTTACTGATAGTTCTTACTCTTATTATAAGCTTTGTGTCCAGTTGCGTTAAGTCACCTTATGCAATTAAAATAACAGATATAAAATTGTAAAGCATCATTAGGAATTAACTATTCGCACTATTGCTGAGAAATTTCTCATCGAAAAATATTTATCGAGTTTTTATGGTGATCGAAAATTTAATAGGAATTTTATCTTTTAAAAAAATTGCAGCCGAAGTTGTAATGGCAACTGAACAAAATGATTAGGTTTGAATTTTATCTAAATGGTATTGGTAACTAGATTTGTGAGATAAAATTTGTGTTTAATGCAATAAAACTGTTTGGGATCTTTCAGATGAGTACTTTTTAATCGAGATTTAACAATATGTTTTATATCAAGAAAGAGAAAATGGTTGTAGCAGTCATGGGGGTCGATGAGCGAAACGAACAGAGGGAAGAGCCCATTAATAATTTTATACTAAATGATATGCAAAGTGTTCTACGAAAGGATATCCATAAGAATCATTTCTAGAAATTTAGTCGAAACTCTTATTAAAATACTGAATTTTGTTTTTGTTTTTGCTTTTATCTCAGAACACAAGTTTTTATACACCTTTAGTACACTCCTTTCGAAAACCACTTTCAATACCAAAGGAAATTTTTGTGGAGATTTAGTATAAATAAAAGCGTGTAATAAACTAAAATTAAAACATGTCTTGGTAAAAAAATGAATTTTATTATCGAATTTTATTAATTGTCAAATTTTTACGATTGTTGGTAAAAAATATTTATTCAATTTTTTTGACAAAAAAGTTTATTCTACTTTTTAACTATTTTTTTAAACCATTTAAATTAAACAATTTCAAAAAGTTTCTCACGAATTACATCATTATCGCATCAGCGAAATTCAAGTGTGATTTAGTTTTATGTAAGTTAACGTCAAAGAAATTTTTTAATTTTTTAGTATCGAAAATTTCTATTTTCTTTAAATCACTAGTTTGAAGAGAGATTGATTGTTCATAAGAAATATGATGGGCAACGTTGCGTAGAGAGCTACAGTTCTCTATTTAATTATAGAATAATTGATAAGTTTTTATTGAAAAAAATCAAAGTATAATATTTATTTTCATAAAATCTGCTTTGATCAATGCTTTTCTTTAGTTAAATATTTGTGCAAGGTGTTCTATAATAACCACTTACAATATTTACTTTTAGGATACTCACCAATAAAAGATTAAATAAATAAACAATTCAGAGATCGCAAGTTAATATTTAATATTTATTATTATTAACGAATCATTATTGAGGATTTTAATTTAATTAGGATTCTATTTTAATTTAACGAATAATTATTGAGCATAACGGGATTGAAGGCATCAGAACCAGTTTAATTGGTAGATGAAACTAAAAGCTGGATGTTCTAAAATTTGTTTATCTCTTTGTATTTATAATCACCTATATTTATAACTGTTATACAAATATTTGTATTTATAAACGTTATTGAAATTTAACGAATCATTATTGAGGAAGCTGGGACTGAAGTAATAGAAAAAAGTTTGATTGTCAGACAAATCTTAAAGACGTGTTTCTAATTTCGTATATTTTTTCTACCTTTATAACCACTTCTTTGCTTTCTCCGGTAATAAAATAGATTAATTTTTTTAATTTTTAATCCCACTTTCCTCGTCAATAATTATTTGTGCTTCGATTAAAGTTGCCTAAAAATAAATTTTTTACCCCTAATATTAATAATTTTTATTCATTGACTCTTAAAAGTGGGCCGTGGGAACCCCAGTGGTTAGAGAATCGGACTCCGGTCAAGAGGGGTCAAGGTTTAATCTTCGCTAAAGACCCATCTAAGGACATGTGATATACGTGTTCGTAAAATCTGTGGAATCGAAAATCCTGTGCTTGGTTGCTGAGCGGTGCTATGGGTTAGGGATTTGGGGTAAATTTCTTTCCCCTTCAGATCTAATTGAGGAAGTGGCTTCACAAATGGGTGGTCCTGCCACCTCTGAGCTAAGACGTACTTACACCCTTACGGTGCTCTCTTGTCACTTGAAGGACTCACCTTTCTGATTAAATTTGCAAAAGGCCAATAGCTGATGGTGAGCTGGGTTTGCCCAAGTGTCATTAGAAATGACAACAACATTAAAATTATTACAGTTAACGGAACAACACATGTATTTTTTTTGAGGACATGAATATCATATTTTTTACATTTTAAATGCTCGGTTCTTTAAATAATAAGAAATTATAGAAGCATATACTTACAGCATCATCTATTTGAGGGGAACGACGTATGGAGATGCTACTACAGGGGGAGCCACGTATTTGTAGGGCGAGTATGGTGAATAGTAGTAACCGCCGCCATATGGAGTATAGCCGGTGTAGGAGGCAATAGATTTGTAGTAAGGGCTACCTGATGGAACTACAGATTTGTAAGGAGAATAGGGTGAATAGGAGGGGTAGTAGTAGCTTGGATAGGAAAATACTTTGGCTGGTTCTTCCTTTTTCTCAAAATCGAAATCTGCCAGAGCTGATCCAGCGATGCACAGGAAAAATACGGTTAAAATCTGGAAAAGTAAGTATGTTAGTAGAAAATAATACTCACATAAAAAGCTAGCTGTATTCATTTTTGTCCTGGAAATGATTCCGAAAAATTCGTTATGTCTAAAAAATTAATCGTAAAATAAAATTTTTTATTTTTTTTTCTCAAGGAAAATAGGATTTGTATCTTGTCAAATGTTTTATGTCAAAAGAAGTGACACATTTTCAAGTTTAATGTTAGAGCTTTCTAAAGTGGCGCTTTTAGTAAGCATTCGAAAGTTTCTTTTTTTTTTTTGTAAGCGGGAAAACTTTAAAGCCTGACGATAACACCAAAAGCTCAAAGCTTGTGACTTCCTTTATGAACAACTGAGATTTTGAAACTTTTCAAGTTATCAGCTAGTATCAAGTTTCAAGCGTTCACCGTAAAATGAGGTGAAAACCAGGTTCGAATCCCAGCGATGGCTGGTCGATATGAAATCCGCTCCTGGCTTGCATCGACCGCTATGCTAACTTAAAATATCCTCAGTAGTAGATGGATCACGGGTTGGCACACGTCAAGCTAACCGTGGGAAGTTTTCATGGTTTTCGTCACCATGTAACGCAAATACGGGTTAGTGCCATAAAAAAAAATCCTACACGAAGGCAAGTTTCTCCCAATACTTAATCCAGAAGTTCCTTTGTCTTCTGGATTTGGTTCAAAATTACAAGGTTACAGAGTAGTCGTAAACCCCAAAAAATTGGCTCCATTGTTCAACAACGGTTATAAAAGTTATAACACTAGAAAATTGATATAAAAATTCAGAATTTTTGAAGAAGTACTCCCAACGTGCAGCTGGAAACTACGACCCCTAGATTTAACACTAAACATATCATAACTGGTCAAAAGATCGGTTATTGTAAGTTGTATTGCATTGTAGTGTTAAGTGTTGGCATGTTTTGTGTTAAAGTCTCGTGCTTTATCGATAGAATTAGTCGGGTATGCTTGTGTTTTGATATCACTGAAATTTTTGATTGCATGAACTTACCCATCTATTTATGAAGAAATGATTGTAACAAATTGTGTGTGTGTTTTGGAATAATATAAATATTTTTATATTGCCAAATATTTTTAAAATTGCAGTTATTTAGACAGAAACTAAGCTCTTTATTTTTTGGATTTCCATATTTGCAAGAAATTTTGTTCGGATTTAAAACAACACTTCTTCTAAAAGTTTGACCATGAAAATGTTAAGATATGCAATGAACAAACTTTTTTTGTTTTGATAAAAAAGAAAAAGACGGATAGGGAAAGAACTCCCCCCACCCCCCATAATTCTGAAGTTGCAAAAATATTTTAAAATAAATTTGTGTAGCGAAAAAATGTTTTTAAATAAGATCAATAATTCTGACTTAACTTTTCATAATTGATTTTTTAAAATTTTTTGTAAAAAGTAAAATAGATTTTAAGATTATTTCGGTAACTTGTAGGTAAAGCCCACTGCTCGCCCCGCTCAAATTCCCGCGATTGCTTCTTAAAAGCCTATCAGGTTCGGCACACACGCGTGACGTTGCTGACAGATGTCCAATTAAATCTGATTTAAATCATATGGTTAAGTATAATCATATCACTTCTTCTCGAGTTGCAAATACCCAATTGTGGCTTTATATAGAGCAAAACTAAAGTTGAAGGTATATCTTTTGTAACAATCTTAATAAAATGCAGGAGTAATTATTTACAAAACTAAGAAACAGACATTTCTTTTATTACAATGTTACAAAAACATTAAAAAAAAAAACCAATTCTAAAACTATAATTCTTCATTAACAAGAGGAGTGGAAGTTATAGGACATGTTATAGGGATAATTTTATTTTAACAACTTAACCTAATGTATTTTTAATTTTAATTTTTGATTAAAGAACTAAAGAGATTTTTTAAAAGTAACAGCGAGAAGAAATTAAGTACATTAACAATTAATGGCTAAGTAAAATTTAATTACAGAAATTCAATTACTAATATTTTAACCCAGTAACTTCAGCAAGCCTGGCAAAATTTATTTAAGCAACGATTGAATAAAATGTTGATGCTGATGTTTTGACTTTAAATTCTAGTAAATACACGCAGCTGAAGCTAGTAATATCCATAATTCCCGCCTCCTAATGAAATTAATTTCGATTTAATGTGGATCGTATAAACCAACTCTTAAATAATCCAAGAATTCCAAGAGATTAAGGGACAACTTTACTTACTTTAGCAAACAGAGAACTAAAAAAAATATTGATTTACTATAGCGATGAACTGCCAAATGTTTTTGGCTTCGAAATGTTAAGGTTATTCCTTGCATATTTCGTCTTACTTATTCATTTGTTTAATCAATATCAAAATATTTCACACACAATTATAATAATAGTTAATAATAATAATAATTATGATGATGATGCTGATGAGGATAGTAATCAAATTATTATTATTATTATTAATAATAATAATAATATTAATATTTTGATTTTTTAATACGTTATTTAATGATAATTGAATATATATTATATATTTTTTTCCTTCAAAATTTGAGTTCTGTCATTTTAAGAGATGTAAAAATTTGCTCATCTTTGTCAGTGTTGGATCATTATTAAATTAAACAATAAAAAATAATAAATAATTTTTAAAAATTATATATTGCATTGCAATATTTTTGAATACACTGCAGAAATTTTTGGATCAAATTACGGTATATAGTGCCGGCAGTTAGGGTGCATTATCCGTAAAATATAATATCATAATTTTAACAGTAATATTTATTTAGTTAGAGTGATTCAGTGATTTGACTGTAATCATTGCTGTAAAAATTAAGGTGTATCATTATTTTTTATTCCGTAACTTGTTCTAGTAAGAATGGATTTTTCATTAAAAAGTGATGGTACATGCCGAACTTTATAATTATGTAAAAAATGATTCGAGCTGCATTCTGTTGATGAAGAAAAAGCCACATAGAAAAAAAATTAACGCTAAAGGATTTAAATTTTCAACCAATTTCTAACTAAACTATTGAGAATTTACTTTTCATTTGGGCAACCCCTTCCTGCCATATTTTAAGGGTAAAATTATCACAATTCCTCGAGAAATATTTTTGTTTGTTTGTAGTGGAAGAGTTGTGTTTAAGCGTTGTTTTTGTATTCACTGAAATAGTTCTATACACTAAGAAAAAAAGTATGATTGAAATTAACGGAATATAGTAAAATTTACCGTATTTTTGACTCTATGGCAACAGCAAAAGGAATTAATAAAATGGGATTTTACAATATGCGATGAAATTTGATGAATGTGGTAAAATTTGGTAGTTTCATCATTATACCTTAGAGCAGAGGTCGCCAAAGTGGTCTATATAGACCCCCAGGGGTCTATTTAACAAAAGCGGGGGTCGATCTGAGCCAGGGGGTCGAATGGGGGTCCATCCGAATCGGAGGGGTCGATTGGGGGTTGAAGAAAAAACAGTTCTTAATACGCAAATCACACATACCTAATTGAGTATGCAAAACTTGTGAATTTTTTTATAATTGACTTAATAACAGTTTCTTTATAGAACATAAATTAATAAGCGTATATTTATTCGGGTGAAACAAGTATTTACGTACCAGGGCGCAATGGCTCGAACTCTGCACTTCTGGTTTATAAGTCATATGCATATGTGCGCTTGTCCANTTATAATACTGGTTAATAATAATAATAATTATGATGATGATGCTGATGAGGATAGTAATCAAATTATTATTATTATTAATAATAATAATAGTAATAATTTGATTTTTTAATACGTTATTTAATGATAATTGAATATATTTTGAGTTGTAAGATGTAAAATTATTTGTATCATCTGAATAATAAAATCTAAAACAGAATAAAAAATTCCAAAAATCAATAAAAATTAGTCAAATAGTACAATTATATAATACAATTATATATTTTTTTCATTCAAAATTTGAGTTTTGTCATTTTAAGAGACGTAAAAATTTACTCGTCTTTGTCAGTGTTTTAGATCATTATTAAATTAAATTATAAAAAATAATAAATAATTTTTAAAAATTATGTATTGCATTGCAATATTTTTGAATACACTGTAGAAAATTTCGGATCAAATTACGGTACATAGTGTCGGCAGTTTGGGTGCATCATCCGTAAAATATAATAACATAATTTTAACAGTAATATTTATTTAATTAGAGTGATTCAGTGATTTGACTGCAATCATTGCTGTAAAAATTACGGTATATCAGTATTTTTTGTTCCGTTACATGTTCCTGTAAAAATGGATTTTACATTAAAAAATGACGGTACATGCCGAGCTTTATAATTATGTAAAAATGATTCGATCTGCATTCTGTTGATGAAGAAAAAGCCGCATAGAAAAAAATATTAACGTTAAAGGATTTAAACTTTCAACCAATTTCTAACTAAACTATTGAGAATCTACTTTTCATTTGGACAACCCCTTCCTGCCACATTTTAAGGGTAAAATTATCATAATCCCTTGAGAATTTTTTTTTTGTTTGTGTTGGAAGAGTTGTGTATAAGCGTTGTTTTTGTATTCACTGAAATAGCTCTATACACTGAGAAAAAGAGTATGATTGAAATTAACGGAATAATGTAAAATTTACCATATTTTTTGCTCTATGGCCACAACAAAAAGAATTAATAAAATGTGGTTTTATAATATGCGGTGAAATTTGTTAAATGGGGTAAAATTTGGTAGTTTTATCATTATACCTTAGAGCATATGGCATAAAAACCATTTATTTGGTTAAATCTACGTTTCAGTTTTGTATTTTTATAAAATGTATGGTAATATTAGCTACAATTTTTGAAAACCAGAATTTCAAGATATATATATATATATTCAGCGTTATGTACATATATAAGAAGTGTCATTATCATACAGTTAAATAGTTCTACCAGAATTTTTTTCTCCTTATAGTTATGGCGAAATCCATAAAAAAATTTACTTTAAGAGATGGTCCAAACTTTTAAATACTTTCCGGACACAATTATTGGAAACGTACCTTCCCCCATCTATTGAAGCTAAACGATGACTGCCTTAATTTGATGTTGAGCTAGATTTCTTAAAAAATAATATATAATAATAGCTACTTAAGAAAATAGAAGCTATAACAAAACTAATAAATAATATAAGAAAATAATAAATAGTATAATAAAATATAAAAAAAATAGGTATTATAAATATTAAAAAAAATAATAGCAATTCAAAAGAATGAAGTTACAGAGTAATGTAGCGATTAATTCAAACACAGCTCATCTACGAAATAAGGCAGGCATTGCTTGATAGTAAGCTATTTTGTTCAGCGAATACTAGATTTAATACAATCGGTTCATATCAAAATCAGTTCAATTAAAGAAAATTTAATTATGAAAATAAAACTTTTTGACGATGATAATTATCTTAAAATAATAATCATATAAGAGAAGGAAATAAAATTTGGAAAATATAATTCACGAAAAATTCAAAATAAATCAACGAAATAAATTTAGAACTTAAATATATCCCCGTGATACGATTTATATAGTAATTAATTAAAATACAGCTCTTCTACAAAAAAAGGCAGGCATTGCTTGATAGTAAGCTACTTTGTTCAGCGAATACTAGATTTAATACAATCGCTTCATATCAAAATCAGTTCAATTAAAATAAAATTAATTATGAAAATAAAACTTTTTGACGATGATAATTATCTTAAAATAATAATCATACAAAAGAAAGAAATAAAATGTGGAAAATATAATTCATGAAAAATTATAATTGAATCAACGAAATAAATTTGGAACTTAAATATATCTCCGTGTGATACGATTAATATAATAATTAATTAAAGTTCAGCTCTTCTACGAAATAAGGCAGGCAACGCTTGAATCTCTGCTACTTTATTAAGCAAATGCTTGAATACGATCGGCTTTTATCAAAATCAATTCAATTACAAAAAAAATGCAATTATAAAAATTAAAACTTTTTGACGATGATAATTATCTTAAAATAATAATCACATATAAAATAAAGAAATGTAATTTGGAAAATATAATTCGGGAAGAATTCTAAATGAATCAACGAAATAAATTTAGAACTTAAATATATCTCCGTGATACGATTAATATAATAATTAATTAAAATACAGCTCTTCTACGAAATAAGGCAGGCATCGCTTGAACGTCTGCTACTTTGTTGAGCAAATACTTGAATACGATCGGCTTATATCAAAATCAGTTCAATTACAAAAAAAATAACCTTTTTAGGTATAAAAGTTAAAACTTTTCAGCGATGATAATTACTTTAAAACAATAATCAAATGAAATAAATACGAAATATGATCTTGAGATTACTTTTAACACGAAGAATTCCAAATGAATAAACAAAATAAATTTAGAACTTAGAATTCAAATAAATAAATAAAAAAACTTACCATAGTTTTCATGATTGTGAAAGACGGTGGGATATTCAAGAGCTCAAAAGGCAGGAGAAGATATTAATTTTGAGTAAATTACCCTCCTTATATACCAAAATTTCTAACCACTTCGCAATCAAAATAAAAACAAATTTGCTAGAAAATTATAAGTATATCGGTGTGTTTTATCTCGGCTCTTCTGTGATTGGTTAGTGTATATTAAATATATTACAACAAATAAATTAAAAGAGAAAGTTTCTCACGTGCCCTTAATGTGAGCACAAGTGGTGTAAGTCTAACGTACAGTGAAGAACAGGCAGAGAACTTGTTGCTTTATCTTTTAACAGTTTTCTCCAAATCAATTCTTGGATTATTTAAAATTATAGATCTGTTTCAGTTATATTTTTTCATATAAATTGTGCTAGAGCAGAACATTAGATATTCAACCTATATGAAAAGATATATAGTTTATTTTATTGTTTAGTTTTTAAAGATTCAACCATTTTATTTTTTAATGGTAGTTTTAAAATTATATTACATAAAGCATAAAAGAATAATAGGTGAAAGAAATGAAAATTGAAAGGTATTCAACTATTTGGACATTATTCCCATAACTGTTTATTTTTATGTCCTCAGTAAATGAAACGAGCTTTTTTATAGAAAAAAAAAGTATGTTTATGGAATAAGTCTTGAAATTTTATTCTTTATTGTTTGAATTTGTACATTCAAGATACTTATAAGTAAGCGTTTAAAGCAGTTTTCCGATGCTTTAAGAATGAAAATTAAAAAGTCGTATTTTTTAATGCTTGGAATAAGGCTTTAATTTTATGCTATTAATTCTATCCTGTTAAAAGAATCGACTGAATTTAGAAACAGACTAATATTTTAAAGATTTAAAAAAAATTATTAATAATATTATTATTTTTTATTTCCTAGCTATTTAAAAAATCATTAAAATGAATGAATGAATTCATTATTTTTATGTAATCTAACAATGAGTAATTTTTAAAGTAAAACATACTAGATAACGAAAGTTTTTCCTTTTTAAAAACAAATAAGGATTTTCGTGTTATATTGAATAGCTGATTTATGCAGCTCTTGTGCTGTTTCCATTGCTTTTGTATAATATTGAAGTCTGGCGATATTTTCATTATCAGCGAAGAGTGGTGCCCAAATACTTGTTTGAATTTTCTTATGAAGCGTAAGATTTAATACGAAATCCACCAGGAATTATTTCTTTTTGAGAAGTTTCCGATATTTTGCGCAAAGTAATTTTCACAAACTTGAAATGGATTTTTAAGATACAATTATATGTATTTGAAAAGAAATCAGTCAAGAGCGTTTGGTCTTCACTGTGAAATTCTTATCCTTGAGTAGCAAAAAGTATTAACAATGCAGTGCTTCTATTCGCTTTAATTTTTCTTATCGAATTAGGCTTTTCAAGTCAGGAACATTGAGAGTGATCTGCGTTGTAAGTTTTCAGCACTACTCCATGTCTCCAGACATTTACAAAGAAAAATTAATTTGTGATACCGCTTTGAAAGGAAAGTTACTATATTCACAGTGGAGGGCCGGGATAGCCTGGTCGGTAGGGCGCTGGGCCCATATCCAAGAGGTCGTGGGTTCGATCCTCGCCGGCCGAAGACTCCCCGTGTAGTAAATGGTGACTGATGCACGTTAAATCTGTCGAGTCTCAAAGTCCTCCATGTTCCCACAACAAATCAATATCTCTGGGGATACTGATCCAGGAGTTTCCTTGTCTTCTGGATTGGTTCAAAATTACAAGGCTACGGAGTTGAACGTAAGTAGTCGTAAACCCATGAAATTGGGTCGGCTGTTCAACGACGGTTGTAAAATAAAAATATATTCACAGTGGGAGCCGCGATGGCTCAGGGGATAAAGCGTTCGCCTTCGAATGAGGTGAATCGGGGTTCGATCTCGGCAATGGCAGGTCGATACGAATTCCGCACCCGGCTTGCACCGACCACAGTGCTGACGTGAAATATACTCAGTGATAGACGGATCATGTGTTAGAGTCCCCTTGCCGTCAGGCTAACCGCGGGAGGCTCTCGTGGTCGTCCACTCCTTGTAACGCAAATGCGGGTTAGTTCCATCAAAAAGTCCTCCACGAAGTCAAATTTCTCTCAATACTTGATCCAGGAGTTCCCTTGCCTTCTGGATTGGGTTCAAAATTACAAGGCTACGGAGTTGAACATTAGTAGTCGTAAACCCAAAACTTGGGTCGGCTGTTCAATGACGGTTATAAAATAAAATAAAATATATGCACACTGGGGGCAGGGATAGCCTGTTTGGTAGGGCACTGGGGCCATGTCCAAGAGATCGTGGGTTCGACCACCACCAGGCGAAGACCGTGTAGCAAATGGTGACTGAGGCACGTTAAATCTGTCGAGTCGCAAAGTTCTCCATGTTCCCATAACAAATCAATACCTGTAGGGGTACTGATCCAGGTGTTTTCTTGTCTTCTGGATTGGTTCAAAATTACAAGGCGACAGTGTTGTACATTAGCAGTCGTAAGCCCCAAAATAGCGTCGGCTGTTCAACGACGGTTATAATATAATTTTAATATATACACACTGGTGCACGGACCACAGTGTTGACGTAAAATATCCTCAGATCATGAGTCCCCTTACAGTCGGACTAACCGTAGGGGTTTTTCATGGTTTTCTTCTCCATGTAACTCAAATGCGGGTTTGTTCCATCAAAGGCAGATTCCTCCCAATACTTGAACCAGGAGTACATTTCTCTTCTGGATAGGGTTCAAAATTACATAGTTACGGAGTTGAACATGAGAAGCCGTAAACCCAAAACTTGGGTCTGTTGTTCAACGACGGTCATAAGCTAAATTACAGTGAAACTTACAGGAAGGACCACCTCTATGTAGCGACCTCCTCTATTTACGCCCACTTTTAGGAGGCACTGAATTTTTTCCATAGACTTTGTG